TTTTTTTTGAGACGGAGTCTGGCTCTGTCGCCCAGGCTAGAGTACAGTGGCGCGATCTCGGCTCACTGCAAGCTCCGCCTCCAAGGTTCACGCCATTCTCCTGCCTCAGCCTCCCGGGTAGCTGGGACTATAGGTGCCTACCACCATGCCTGGCTAATTTTTTGTATTTTTAGTAGAGATGGAGTTTCACTGTGTTAGCCAGGATGGTCTCGATCTCCTGACCTCGTGATCCGCCTGCCTCGGCCTCCCAAAGTGCTCGGATAACAGGCGTGAGCCCCCGGGGCCCTCGGCGGCCTGGGCCCTGTGGTTTTTGTTGTGGGGCTATCCTGCGTGTTGAAGGATATTGAGCAGCATCCTTGGCCTCCACCCACTAAATGCCAGCAACACTTCCCCTCCTCCTGCTGTGACAACTAAAAATGCCTCCAGACATTGCTGAGTGTCCTTTGGAGGGACAGTCATTCCGGCTGAGAACCACTGAGGACCACTGCGCTCGTAGTCTGTTTTCAGTTCACCTTTCTGGCTTCCTCCTACCCCCTGGTCATTCTTTTGTTCTTTGGCTTGCTGGTTCGTTAGCCACCAGCTGTTTCTGGAGAGCCTAACTGTGCTAGGCGGTGGGCCGCACTGCTTGGCGTTCCCCTGGCTGGAAGAGCCCGGGTGCCGGCTGGTTTTCTGAATGTGTTCTGGTTGCATGTTGTCCTCAGCTATTTGCTTTTGAGTGGGATGTGGTTCCCCCACCTAATCTCAACCTTTTGAAGTCTTACCTGTTCCTTCAAGCTAGGCCCAGATGTGACGTCCTCCCTGAAGCCTGCCTTGTTCCCCACCCCACCTTGGAATTTGACCTTTCCTACGCCCTTGCCACATTTCACATAATTGTGTGTGTGTGTGTGTGTGTGTGTCTCCTGCACTGTTACAGTGTAAGCCCCAAATGGAGTGATAAGCTGTGCTCTTCCTAGTGTCAGGCTTTGGAAGACTGGACTGGACAATTACGCCAGCTAGAAATTCTCCTCAAATCCATCTTTCAGGCCAGGCACAGTGGCTTGTGCCTGTAATCCCAGCACTTTGGGAGGCTGAGACAGGTGGATCACTTGAGGTCAGGAGTTTGAGACCAGCCTGGGCAACATGGTGAAACCCCATCTCTACTAAAAATACAAAAATTAGCTGGGTGTGGTGGCGTGTGCCTGTAATCCCAGCTGCTCGGGAGGCCGAGGTGGGAGGATTATCAGACCCTGGGGAGGGCTAAAGGTGCAATCCCACTTCACTCCAGCCTGGGTGACAGAATGAGATGCTGTCCCCACCTCCCCAAAAAAACAATTTTTTCCCACAGATGCTGCAAGAGAGCCATTTAATATGCAGGAGCTCATGCCCCGATCAAAACTGTTTGGTGCCTCCCCAGCACACACGAGAGAAAGTCCATGTTCTTGGAAGTGGCACGCTGGTCCAAGATCTGGCCTCACCACGTTCTGTCTGCCTTGGGCCCTGGGCTTGAGCTCACGTGACCACCCCCACCCACGGCTGTTTTTGCTACTATCTCCCCTGCCTAGAGCAGTGGTTTTCGGACTGTAGCTCATGACCTATTTGTGTGTTTTGAAGTGAATTTTGAGGGCCCTAAAATTTCCTTGAATTGGAAAGAAAAACCCAGAGTGCCTGTAGGTCTACCATTCTCAGACACAACTGGTGTGTCCCCACCTAGCCACTCTAAAGGAGCCTGTCCCGCTCCCACCAGTCCCATCCCATGTTATTTCCTATGTGTCACTATTCACTCTTGGAAATTGTCCCCTTTGTTTGTTTCCTTGCATCCTGTCTCCCTCCTTCACTTGGGTGTGGAGGGACCTTGTGATCAAGGATGTTCAGGGCTGTGTCCCTGGGACCTAGAATGTGCCAGGCACATGTAATGAGTCGGGAGAGTGGGGGAGCCTAGGGGTGTGTTGTGTGCAGTGTGGGGCTCGGGGCCTGGGAGGATACCACCTCGGGCCTCGTTAACTGCCCTGTGTGTGCAGGCAGCTACATCACCACGATCGGAGTGGATTTCAAGATCCGGACCGTGGAGATCAATGGAGAGAAGGTGAAGCTGCAGATCTGGGACACAGCGGGGCAGGAGCGCTTCCGCACCATCACCTCCACGTGAGTCTGCCCGCTCACTCCCACCCAACCCGCGCCACTGACCTGTGCCCACCCACTCCCACTCAACCCACATCACTGACCTGTGCCCGCCCCCTCCCACCCAACCCGCGCCACTGACCTGTGCCCGCCCCGTCCCACCCAACCCACATCACTGACCTGTGGACATGGTTGAGCGACTGGTGCCTGCATGGTGGAAATGTCACTGAGGGTCCCTGAGGCTGTCGGGAAGTGAGCCTGTTGTTGGCTGTAGTAGATGGCGTTTGGTTGCACCCTTCCCAGTCCTGAAGGTGTGAGGGGAATGGTGTAGGGGGAGTCGCTGAGCACCCTGGCTGGAGTCTGGCCGGATGGCCGGACAGTGGCCATGTTCAGCCTCCTTGGAGAGTCAGCCGACCCTCCAGCCCACTGCGCCGTCACCTTACAGAGGGAGCAGAATAGCGTTTGCCTTACTAGGGGGTTGCAGAGTGCCCTGCCCGCCCAGGACTTAGTCACTGACAGTTCCTCTTGATAGGTGTCAGTTATGGCAGCTGGAGTTGGCCTGTGCAGGCTCCCGTCACCCACCCTGATGCCTTGGAGGTGACACTGTCCAGAGACCTGTTGGTGCATGTCAGCAGGCCCTTCCCTCCCCTTAAAGCTGTTCCTGGGAAATCCGGCCGCCCACCAGTTGCCCGCCGTTGTGGCTAAGCTGCAGGCCGGGGGAAGCTGGGCTCCAGCGCAGATGGGCAGTGTCCTTCGGAGCAGCTCCTGGTTATTGCGTTGTTAATGGAGCAGGTTTTAGGGACGAGCGGGGTCTGAAGGGACCGATTTGGAGCTGTTGGACTGTGTGTCCTTAGGCAAGTTGCCGAAGCTCTCTGCGCTCGTTTCCTGGAGGGACTGCCTCTGGGATTGGCTTCCATGTGGAGGGGGCTGGGTGCTCTGCCGCAGCCGTCAACGTGCGTGGCCGGGGTTTGGTGTCTGCAGCTCCGTGTGCTCGGTGCTGCTGTCATCCCATTTGACAGAGGGTGCCCTGAAGGGGTCCCTCCCATCGGCCGAGCCTGTGCTCCACACAGTAGCCTGTGAAGAGTGAGGGGCGCTGTCTGGCTCCACAGACACCTCCTCAGCTCTCTCTGGAAGTGACCTCAGGAAGGCGAATGAGGAAGTCCCAGCCAGCGGTCCCCTCCCTCCCCACAGCATGAAAGCTGGGTACTCCCCAGGCTGGCTGCCCACCCCGGACCCCTCGGCATCTCCCGAGGGCGGGAAGTGTGGGGTGCAGCGCCCCCATGGGTGGCTGGGAGTGTGGGGGAGAGCAGGGCTGCTGGAGGAGGGACAGGTGCACTGGGCGAGCAGCTCCTGGGGCTGGAGTCGAGGCAGAGGGCTTGTCACTGGGTTCACCCTATGCTGAGCGCATTTGTGCTGCGGCCCGTGATGCCCCAAATCCCTGGGAGCTCCCAGTCCTGGGATCGCCCGGGTGTGGTGCTGTGTGGTGACTGTTGATGAGTCCCGTGAGCGAGGGCTCTGTGGCCTGCATGTCTTGGCAGCTGCCAGTGAGAACCTGCGGAGGACGCTGGGGCAGGGCTGGCATCAGTGCTTTGGGCAGCGCAGACCCAGGCGAGACAAGCCCTCGTGCTCTGGCCAGCGCTGGTCTGGGTGCTGACCTCCTGCATCCTTGCTCTGGGTTGGGCCTGTCGCTAGGATTTCAGCTGCTTTATTCCGGTTAATCCCGGTAGAGAGACCTGTGACTATCTCCATTTTATGGACAGGAAAACAGGCCCAGGGAGGAAGAAGCCTCCTAACTTGGGGGGCGGGGTTGGGGGCACTCAGGATTGGCCCTGAGGCTGCCGAGGCCCTGCACCAGCTGGTCAGGTGGTACCCCTGCTTTCCCGCCCCATCCTGTGCCTTCAAACCAGGTGGAGGTCAGGGCAGCAGAGGTTTGGAGGCCCGTGGCCATGAGGAATGAACCCTTTGGGCAGGGCTGTGGGGCCTGGGGGGGTCTGAGGCTCTTTCAGCAGGAGGAGCCACAGCCCCTCCCTGTCACCATGCAGTCAGCTTTCCAGGCTGGGCAGGGCGCGAAGAGGGTGAACTGGTTCCTCCATCTGTGGGGAGGTGGGGAGGAGTCACTCAGCTTCTTGGGAGCAACATGGGTTTTCCCAGGGGGCTTGGGAAGGGGCAGCCTGTGGGCAGCTGTTGGGCCCCAGACGGAGTCCCACCTGTCTGGGGAAGCAGAGAGGTAGCTCCATCTTGGAGTCCCACTCTGGCCCTCATGAGGCAGGAGGCCCAGCAGGGCGCACTGAGGGGCCCCTGGAAGTCTCGACGCCCTTTGATGGTCACTGGCAAAGAAGGAAGGCGTTTTGGGGAGATGAGGAGTTTTCAGGAATGGGGCAGTCAGGATGTAGTAGCGTGACTTTTTCCGATGCAGGGCATTCAAAGAGAAACCGAAACCGCATCCTGTTAGCCTGGCGAGAAAGAGCCCTGTGGTCACCCCCTCTCGAGTTCTTGCTCTCAGAAGCTGAGGTTTGCCGGCCCTGAGAGGTGCGGGTGGGGTGGAGGTGAGGGGAGAAGTGACAAGGAAGGCAAGGCCCTGGCATTGGGCCTGGGAGTCAGCCCTGAGCGCCAGGACTTCCAGCTGGCCGCCGCACTCAGCCTCACGTCCTCGCTGGTCACATGGCCAACCTGAGGTCTGCTGGATCAGGTGGCTGCAGAGATTAATAAGGTCATGGATCCCAAGCCCCCAGCTCTGTGCCTGGCCTAAAGCAGAGTCCCCATGAGTGAAGGCGATTCCTGGTGGCCATGGGAAGCCTCGGTGCTCTGGTTCCTCCTAGCCAGAGCTCTGAGCCCCTGACTTCATCCCCAGACACATTTTCTGCTCTTACATAAAGCCCCTGTCCTGGGCCCCAGATGAGGCGGAGGCGCCCAGGGAGCCGCGGGGGCTCTGTGCCGGGGCCATGGTTGTAGGCGTTTCTTGGCATCTCTGATCATCTTCAGCAAAGGAGAGTCTGCAGAGCCATCCACTCCTTGGGCTTCGTCTGCTGGCAGGGGACAGTCGCCTGTTCCTGTGGCTCTGGCGCGCCCTCGCTCTGGAAGGCGTCTGACACGCCGTGCTGTGTGCTGACCCGGCGCTCAGCAGCAGCTGCCAAGGCTAGAGCTAGTTCTTGGGCTCAGTGCCAAGACAGCTACCCCAAAGCCAAGGAGCGATGCTGCCCTGGAAGCAAAACTGTGGGCAGGATGAAGCCCTGGGAAGAGATCCCAGCGGTCGTGTTGAGGGTGGAGCAAGGATGGGGCAGGGGAAGGGGCAGGGGTAGGGGCAGGGGCAGTGGCAGGGGCAGGTTGGGCTTTGCCCCAGGCCTGGGCAGGAGGAGCTCCTCCAGCTCCACAGCCTCAGGGAAGATGCTCAGGGCCGCCCCCAAGCTGCCTCTGGGTTTCCTTCCACCACCTCTGTCTGGGACCACAGATTGTCCTTGAAGGCATATTGATGATGCTGAAGAACTGATACTGTTTACTGCTCCCCGCCCTTGGGGGAATGCTTAGCTCCTTTCTTCCTCCTGACCGCCCCAGCTAAGGACCAGCCACCTGCGCTCCACAATTGTTGAAGCTGCGAGGTGTGGCAGGGTGAATGCAGGCGCCCTCTAGCCTTTCAGAGGTGGAGCCAGGGGTGGGCTTTTCTCCTTGGATCAGGCCTCAGATGTGAAGCATTGGCCGGAGAGCTGATGGGCAGGTGGACAGGAACGGAGCCGCAGCCACCAGCCTGGCTACCCCATTCTCGCTCAGCCTGTGCTGACTTGGGCTGTTCCTGAACTGGGGCTTGGGCTGTCCCCATGAACCTCATGGGGGTGGAGGTAATTAGGGCTGGGGCAGGTGGCAGCCAGAAGGCCTGGAGGAAGCAGCCTGTCCACTCATGGTTTGTCTGTGTGGTGTCCTGAGGAGCCCTGGGGTGGAGATCCCTGTGGCTTTGGGGAGAGGGGACAGAGGGATAGCTCTGGCTGATTGCACAGTGCGGGGCGGGGCTGCTGCCTGGCCTCTGGCTCTGTGACAGCTCTCGGGGAAGTGAAGAGGCGGAGGCTGTGGTCCCCCTCTTCCCCCGGGGACTGATGTCTTCCTGCGCCATTGGGATGAATGGGGACCTGGGGTCTGGAGAGGAGAATTGGGCGTCCCCTTCCTTCCGGTCCTCTTGGCTGACCCTGGACTCTGCATGTTCGGGTGGTGGCTTTGCTGGGCACCCTCTCCCCAGCCATCCCTGGATGCTTGTGTGGCTTCCACGCTTTTCCTGCCACCTGCACAGATAAGCCAAGAGTAGCAGGAAGGGAGGGGCCTACCTGCCCCGGGGGAGGGACACAGACTTTGCCAGGGCGTCATGATGGTGTGGCTTGTTGGAAAGGCGTTCCTCTAAAACAGGTTTGAGGAGAAAATATTTTTTTTGAACGTTCAAAGACAGTGATAACATGATGTCAAATACAAAAACTGCCTGAGTTCCCAAAATAAAGCAAGATCTTCAAAGATGTTTCAAGCCCGCAGCAGACTCTCAACAGCACGAGGGGACTCCTCAGACCTGCTCTGCTGCCCGGGGGCTGGTCCTCCCGCCCTGCTGGTGCTCCAGGCAGGCAGGGGGAGCCAGTGCTGCCGCAGTAGCCTCTCCTGCTGGCCTGGCGTGGCTCGGGCGTCTGCCGTGGCCGAGTGAGAGTCCAGGCTCTAGGGCCACCCTCACCTTTTCCGGTCACTGTCCTAACGGGGGCAGGCGGGTTCTGGCAAGGGGGCGACTCCTGCCGGGGTTGACGTGCTGCTGCACACTCTGGCCCTGCAGGTATTATCGGGGGACCCACGGGGTCATTGTGGTTTACGACGTCACCAGTGCCGAGTCATTCGTCAACGTCAAGCGGTGGCTTCACGAAATCAACCAGAACTGTGATGATGTGTGCCGAATATTAGGTGAGGCTGCACCCAGGGCCGGGGTGGGGGTGGGGTGGGGGAGAGGGGCAGCGGGCTCCGCCCCTCAGGGCTGTGCTGACTCTGCCTTGCTTTGAAGTGGGTAATAAGAATGACGACCCTGAGCGGAAGGTGGTGGAGACAGAAGATGCCTACAAATTTGCCGGGCAGATGGGCATCCAGTTGTTTGAGACCAGCGCCAAGGAGAATGTCAACGTGGAAGAGGTGAGGCCCTGGGCCGCTAGCTCTGCCACATACCTGTGGCCGTCTTCTCCCTGCTGCTGACCTGCTTGAGGCATCTAAATGACCGACAGAAAATGTCATAGTAACTGCCATTTATTGAGTGCCTACTGTGTGCCAGGCCCTTTAACGATCTTAGTTTATAGCACAACAGTCCTCTGAGGTAGGTACAATTATTCCCACATTTCAAATAGGGAAACTGAGGCTCCAAGTGTTGAAGTCACTCAAGGACCACCACCCAGCTAGTAAGAGACTGAGTAAACCTCTGTCCCACACCAAAGGCAAGCACAGTTTCCACTCCAGTCCTCTGCCTCATTGGCCACCTTGTGGTGTGTGGAGCCCAGAGGCCTATGGGAAGTTGAGGATCCCAGTGCTTCAGGGCAAATGGGCCACACAGTGGCAGGGAGCACAGGCTCCTTTGTAAGTCAGGCTGGTGTCCTGATGCTGGCCTATCCACCTGGGCCTGTGGGCAAGGCTGGTATGACCTTGGGTGGTGACTTCACCTCTCATGCCATGAGGTGGCGTGGAGCGGGCAGACCGCGGGTCACCTATGTCCATGAACAGCAGGGGCACTTTCATCTGTCATGTCATAAGACTCCAGCTGGGCCAGGTGTGGTGGCACACGCCTGTAATCCCAGCACTTTGGGAGGCCTAGGCGGGTGGATCACGAGGTCAGGAGATCGAGACCATCCTGGCTAATACAGTGAAACTCCGTGTCTACTAAAAATACAAAAAAATTAGCCGGGCGCCTGTAGTCCCAGCTACTCGGGAGGCTGAGGTAGGAGAATGGTGTGAACCAGGGAGGCGGAGTTTGCAGTGAGCCGAGATTGCACCACTGCACTGCAGCCTGGGCGATAGAGCGAGACTCCGTCTCAAAAAAAAAAAAAAAAAAGATTCCAGCTGAAGGAAAGGGGTTGGTCTCTCTATATAAAAGAAGGACTGGAAAACCCCTGTGAGTTTGACTTCCCCAAGTCCACACAGCTCATGGGCCTCTGATGGTGTTCCTTTTTTCAGACTTATTTATTTGTTGAGTCAGTGTCTAACTCTGTCATCCAGGTTGGAGTACAGTGGTGTGTTCACAGCCCACTGTAGTCTTGATCTCCTGGGCTCAAGTGATCTTCCACCTTAGCCTCTCAAGTAGCTGGGACTACAGTGTGCACCACCACTCCCAGCTAATTTTTGTATTTTTTTGTAGAGGTGGGGTTTTAGCAATGCTGTTCGTTTTTGACCTTTAAATAAAATAATTCACCACCTCCTTCTGGAACAGGCTTTAGAGACATACATGCCAAAAATTCCAGGTAGAAAGACCCAGGTAGAAACAGCTGGGCCCCGGAAGGCAGGGAGGCGGCCGTGCAGGCCAGCAGGGGCCTCCTGGCCAGGTCTGAGGCTGGCCCTTCCTCTTTCCTCTCCACAGATGTTCAACTGCATCACGGAGCTGGTCCTCCGAGCAAAGAAAGACAACCTGGCAAAACAGCAGCAGCAGCAACAGAACGATGTGGTGAAGCTCACGAAGAACAGTAAACGAAAGAAACGCTGCTGCTAATGGCGCCCAGTCCACTGCAGAGACTGCACTGCGGTCCCTCCCCCAGCCCGAGGCCCGTGGAGATTCCTCGGGGGACAGTCTCAGTTTCGTGCCGTTATTTAAAGAATTCTCTCCATGTTTTTGTATCGGGAGGTGCCATCGGCACTTCCTCCCCCGCCCTCCTCGAGTGCCAAGAAGGTGTTGGACCAGCCCGCCCTTCCCTATTGGTGCCCCCTTCTCCCTGGCCAAGGTGCCTGGACCTGGCGAGGACGCTGCCCGCCGAGCGGACTGATTCGCAGAGTCTGTACATAGTGTATATTGCTCTATCCGGCCGCACACCACGTCCTGCTCTGGCTTTTGCCTCCTTGGTGCCAGCCTGCTGCAGCGGACTCTCCCCGCGCCCCTCCCCAGCCCATCTTACTGCAAGCAGCGTCCTGAGGAGACAGTGTCACTAGCTGCGTCTTCAGCCAGCCTGTGCCAATGGAGTGGGCTCCACGTTGCTCATTCTCTCCGACAGGCTGTCAGCTTCTGTCCCTGGCACGCAGGGTCTTGCCCCTTCTCCGGGGCCTGCGCCAGCTCCCTTCCCTCCCTGTTCTGCCCCCACAGCCATTCTGGGAGCTGGGGAACCCGGTCTCGAGGCAGGCCCTGCAGTTCCACAGAGGTGGCCAGTCTTGCCCTTTGGCCAACAGATTTCTTGTCCTGCCTTCTAGATGCCTCTGAACTCCAAACCCAGGGGAGCCATGGCTTCTCATTTCTATCGACAGTTTTCAGTTCCAACAGAAAGGTCGGGGTAGGTTCGTGCAGAGACGGGGCTGGCAGGGGGGCTATGGGAGCATTATTTTAACAGATCAAGAAAATGAAGCCAAATCAAGTGAATTAAATTCCTCACAATTATTTTCTTTCCCTGAGGTTTGATTGGCACAGCAGCAAAAGTTGAGGCCACCCCACTTTGTGTCCACTGTTTTTAGAAAAAAATGAATGGCTTCCTGCCATTGTGGGGCTGGGCTCTTTGGCTTTTCTTGGTGGGAACAGAGAAGGGGCCTCCCACCCTTGTCCGAGTTGCCTCCCACTGGAGGTCAGGAGTCTATGCTGCAGCCTCAGGCACCTGTGGGGAGTGCATGCCTGGGGCCTCTGGGCTGGGACTGTGGACAGGCCTTGGTCACTGTCCTAACCTTTGTCAGGACAAAGGTAGCAAGAGGACTTCCTAGTGGGTGGGAAGGAATGGCTGGGGCAGCCAGTTTTGACATGCCCCAGTCCCCTGGAGAAAAACCAGGGTCAGTCATCTGCGCTTGATGACTGCTCCCCTGCCCCCAGCCCGGACACCTCATTCCCCTCCCCCTACAGGGATCAAGTGACCTGGGAAGAACTGAGTTCAACACCAGGATGTGTTTCCTTAGATTTCCTTTCCTAGGCGATTTCCAGGGAGAGCCCTGATCGGACAATCACATCACAGATCACACTGCAGTTTCCATGTTAGCACTGTGGATGGATTTTTAATCAATAAAAACGGGGTTTCTTCTCACCCGTCTCTCCACTTGCCCAAACTGCCAAAGGCCGGTGGTTCTGGGACAGGCCTTCACTTTGGAGCCACAGGATGGGGTGGGGGAGCTCCGTGGGCCTGGGAAGGAAGGTGCTGTGGAGGGGGCTGCAGGGCTGACCAGCAGGCAGCCTCATCTGGTCGGTGGGGTCAGCAGGAGCAGAAGCAGGGTCTCTGTCTTTGGGACTGTCCTGGTTGGCCACCGGCCCTGTGAGGATGCACGGTGCTTGGGGCTCCTGTACCGTTGGGTGGGGGGCATGCTGGCCTCTGAGCGATCAGGTGAGGCCAGCAAGGGTGTGCTTGCAAATTCAAGCAATAAGAAGGGGGGGGGGGTCCCTGGGAGCTTCCAGCCCAGGCTAGAAGCCCCCATGGCTTCTGGCAGCTGGACATCAGCCCCAGGTGTTGGGGTGATTTTGGTCATGACAGTGTGCCTGTCCCACTGTTACACGCATGAATGGGGGTTATGGGGTGGGGGTGGGGACTCAGGGCTGGACCGATGTCCTAGTGGACCTGATGTGAAATTCCTGTCAAACACACACCACTTTTAAATGGTTTGCTAGGAGTATTTCTGTATTGAAAGTTTCTAATTATGCTTTTTAAAAAAATACTAAAAATAAAGGTTCAAGCTGCCAAATTTTCTTCCAGGATCTGTTTGCTCTCCCTCCCGCGATGTGCTGAGTGGGCGTGGCTTCTTCCCACTCACTGTGTCCAGCTCTTCCCTGTTCTTGGCCTAAGCCTTGCACAGGAGCCTGTCGAGGCCCTGGGACACTTCCAGAAGCCAGGTCCATTTTCTCCATGAACAGGTGGTCCAGGGTTGAGTTTCCCCCTAGTTGGACTGGGAGCACATGTGGTAAGATGCCAGGGGAAGCTCCATGTTTATCCTCCACATGCCCGGAAGGATGCAGTGGAAGCCTCTGCCTGGAGTGGTTTCTTTCTGGCTTGAAGTTTCTGCGAAGCTTTAGGGCCCTGCTGGCCTGGGAAGCAGCGCTGGCAGGCCTGCCTTGCGGATGGCACGCTGCAGCACTGGCAGGGGGCAGTGCCAGGCGGGAGGGGCAGGGCAGGATACCCTTCCTGGCCAAATCCCTTGGTTAAGTACCAGCATCTGCGGTGGCCCAGGTGCAGGGGAACCAGTATTGCTACCTCTCCGGCAGCAGCCAGTGGTGAGTCTGATATGTCAGTGGCATTCAGGCCAAACCCGCCCCCGCAAATACCCAGAGACTGAGGCAGGAAGCTCTGTAGAAATTCATTTTATTCTTATTCAGACTATTTTCAAAAGAAGCAGTGGTGTGCTGTTTTTCTAAAAATATGCCTTTATAATTTTTATATATGTATATTATAAAATCCATACATGTATTTACATGATTGCTACATACAAAATTACAGCACTGTGGTATGTACACATCTACAGGTACATTCTTGCCGCGCATCCCTGCTGTGCTTTCCCCATGTGAGGGAGGGAGACTGAATCAGTTGTGAGCAGCTGAGGGCTGGCCGGCCGCGAAGCCTCTGAGGTGGGGCCTGGGTGGAAGAGGTGGGGCAGCTGCAGAGGCAGGAGCAGCAGCTGCTACAGGTTTCTCCTGCAGGCCAGCAGGCATCTGGAGGCTTCCAGCAGCTTCCCCCTCTCCTCCACCCTGTGGTGCCTGTGCTGCCCTCAAGGTGGGGTGGCTGACCAGACCCCTCTGGTTCCATTCTGTGGCCTGGGCTTGTTTGGCTGGGCCAAAAAGATATGTATGTGAGGAGTGGAGGAGGGAACTGTGGGAGGAGGAGACCCCATCCAGCCCCAGCCCTGAGCAGGGGAAAGGGTTGGATGGCTAAAGCCTGCAGATGACTGGTGACAACATTCTGCCTGGCCCGGCCCTGCTAAGGGGCAGAGACTGGAGGCTGGGAGGGAGAGCAGTGGCGACCAGGGGACAGGGCCTTCTTCCTCCCTGGGGCTCGGGTGGCCTCAGCTGAGCTTGGGTAAGCGCCAGCTCTTAGACCTTGCGGCCAGAGGCTTGGCCTCCTGCCAGCTGAGGTGCATGCACGCAGGGGAGGGGCTGCCATCTCCCCTTCGACCCTGGGCCGGGGCTGGGGAAGGAATGGAGGCTTAGGCCTGGCCCACTGCCCCCACAGGACTAGGCCCCCGGGGCTCGGGCCTCCTGAGGCATGCAGAGAAGGGCCTCCATTCCTTCTGTTCCCCATTTGCTAAAATCGAGGAGGCAGCAGTGCCTGGGGGTGGGCTGCGATCTGTTAGGGATGAGCTGCAAAGCCCAACACCAAGGGGCCCCTCTGGGAGATGGCCTAACCCTGCTCAAGCAGGGGATCCTGGAGAAGCCCAGGCGTGGGCTTGGCCAGGCGGTGGGCCGAGGGAAGCCTTCAGTGGCCAAGGCGGGCCCCCACCTCTAGGTCTCCATTCTCACCAATGAAAGGGAGCAGGCCCTCCCAGACCCATGGGGCCCCAGCATGAGGGGGAGGGCAGCTACTGAGGTGCGAGCCGCAGGGGAGCCCTCGCCAGCACTGCCTTTCCAGCTGCCTCCAGTCCACCCATCTTTGGTGGCCTCACTCCTCCCAACTTAAATTTTCCTGAAGAATGAGAAGAGTCGTTTGCCTTCAGCGGTGCTGGGCTCATCCCCCCGCCCAGCGCTGTGGCCCCTGCAGAGGGCAGCAGCTGGCTGGCTCCGTTCCTTCAGGTGCGTGTCCATCAGCTGCCGGTCAATGACCCTGTGCATGTCATCCTGCAGAGGGGAGGGGACAGTGGCCAGGACTGAGTAGCTGCTCTCACCTAGCCTTGGGGGTGGACAGGGAGGTGGCAACGTCAGACAGATGAGAGATGAGGATGTGATGAGAGGCTGCAGCTACGACTGCCCTGACCAAGAAAGCGGTGAGCGTGGGCAAGACACCAGGCGCACGCAGGAGCCTCATGGCACCTCCAGCCTCCTCAGGCTCGGGCTGGGGTCTCCTCAACAGTGTTACCCTGCTGGCCTGCCTCGGTCCTCAGCTGATGGCTTGGGTGGTCTGTCCCTGCCGTCTTCACACTAGCACTCCACCTGCTCTAACCAGGCCTCACAGCTCTGCCTCCCGTGTCCTGTGGGCCTGGCTGGTGCCTCCAGTGTGGCTTGCCACCCCCAGCCCCAGCAGGCCCTAGGGCCACCTCGGCTTACCAGCTGCCCAGCCCAGTGGCCTGGCCTCGGGGGTTCCTCCTGCCTTTTCCAATCATTGCAGCCTGAGTTGCTGATGCCCAGGCACCAACAGCAGCCCCACATGGCAAGGATGCCCTGGGTGCTGCCCTAGACCCCGCTGCTGAGGCTCCCATCTGCACCAGAGGCCAGGGGCCGCACGGTCTTCAGGGGCTGTCCTGCACCAAATCAGGCCTATTTTCTTCAGCCTCCTCACTGGGGCGGGGCCGTCCCCAACTCGAATTCATTCACGTGGCCCAGAAAATGCCCCCCGACAGCCCGCCCCACCATGTTTTACAGAGCAGCAGCCTCTCCCATAGAGGAGCCTGCGGACAGGACAGCTCCACTCTGGTGGCTAGACTCTGACCCTGGGTAAGACTCCATTTGACAAAACAGTTCTGCCACTAAAAAAGTTTGAAGGCCGGGCGCGGTGGCTCACGCCTGTAATCCCAGCACTTTGGGAGGCCGAGGCGGGCGGATCACGAGGTCAGGAGATCGAGACCATCCTGGCTAACACGGTGAAACCCCGTCTCTACTAAAAATACAAAAAATTAGCTGGGCGTGGTGGCGGGCGCCTGTAGTCCCAGCTACTCAGAAGGCTGAGGCAGGAGAATGGCGTGAACCCGGGAGGTGGAGCTTGCAGTGAGCCAAGATGGCGCCACTGCAGTCCAGCCTGGGCAACAGAGCGAAACTCTGTCTCAAAAAGAAAAAAAAAAAAAAGAAATATGCGCAGCCTGTGTAATTAGTATCATCCATAAACATAACACGCGTCTGCTCAATTCCTCCATGACTTGAACCTGGCAGGCTCTGCGGCATCCTGGTAAGACCCCAAGCTTTTCTGGCTAAACCCTAGAGTGAGTCAACCTGCGGTGTCCAAGCACAGGACAGGTGAGGCCTGCGTTCAGGGCAGGCTCCCTGTGGCCGGCGCAGATGACCTCTTTGGTTCCGAGCAGCCACTCATGAGATGAGGGCATGAAGTTGGGCTGGCCAGGCCCCTCCATCTGAGCAGCTTGTCCACTCCTCCTCCCTCCCACCCGTGGGTGTCATTCTAGTATCTCTGCAGGTTTCAGCATGAAACGAAGGGGCCTAAAACGAAGGGGCCTTCTGGAGTCATCATGGCGTCGCAGTGAGTGTGGACCCCTCAGGCTCTCCGGCTCAGGGCCTGCTCTCCAGCCTCCCCATCCTCTCAACCCTGTCCTTCAGACTCAGCTTGTTCCTGGTCTTCTCCTTGCCCTTGTCTTCTTCCCTTCTCTTCCAACCCCTTTTCTGCTCGCCCCTCAGAGCTGACACCGTGCCAGGTATTTGCCAACACACGGTCCCTCTTATCAGGTTCCAGCGTATGGTCCTTGGCACGGTGCCCTGCAGTCACGACGCGCTTGATAAAATCTACGTTAAATCCAACGTGGGAATGCTAAAGGGCCTTTCAAAAACCAACCTTTCAAAGCTGCCAGTGTTTTGTTTGGCACACTGAAAACTGCATTTTTAAACTTTAAGCAATCAGGTCTATCCAGGTCGCCCTTTAGAGTTTCCCAGACACATGCTGCTCATCATTCCATGCCTGCTGGACCCTCAGTGGACGGAACAGCCATCTATGAGAAGATGGCACCAGCCGTCAACACTGGGCCACACGCTGCCGAGGAGCTCACTGGACGCGCCTGTGATGAAGGAGGGAGCTGGGACTCAAGGGCATGTCACACTGCACAGAGATGACGCCAGGCTCCAGCACACAGAACACAGTGGGCCATGAGGGGAGGCGGTGGGGCGGCACAGCGATGGCAGGGCGAGAGGGTGGATGGGGTGCAGGGCTCAGGCTCACCTCAAAGGCAGGAGGGGTGTACAACTAAAGCTGTTGATACGGGAACTGAGAAAGGCCACTAGATCAGAAACCAAAGGAGCCAGATAGTAAAAAGCCCTGAGGAAGCAAACTGTAGCCGGGAGAGAAGAGAGAGAACGGCGGTCAGCCAGGGCGCGGCCAGCTGGCTGCTGTGCAGGAGCTGAGGAGCCAGGGACAGGCACCCTGCGGTGGGGCCAGTGCTCTGGCTGCCAGCCCCATGGGGCCCTGGGAGGAATGGTCACCAAGAACCTGCCCTCCACGAGGGGCTTACCTTGTAAAGCCACAGACGGCTTTTCATCTGTCTAGATGAGAATTCTTGGGGAGAAATATTAATGTTTATACCCATATCCTAAAACTGTGCTACCTAAACCTCACCAACAAAACCCAGCCAGCCACAGCCCGGCCCACTGAGGAGCCATGCTGGACTGTGCAAACAGTGGGCCTAGAGAGGGGCCCACTGATCCCTCTTCCCCAGGGCCTGCACCAGCACAGTGCTCTTTGGAAAAAGGAGGCTGGCCCTTGAGAAGGGGAAGGGCGGCAGCTGCTGGCTGCAGGAGGGTTGCTGAGCCGCATCCAGCTGTGAATTTTCATGCAATTATATTGAGCTTCCTGGGCTTCCATGTTAACCAGTTGTTTCTTTCCAGCTTAATGCCCAGACAACCAGCTGAAAGGGGAGCCCCACTCCAAGTCTGGAGATCACTACATCTCCAGACAGCAGCAGCCTGGGCACTGTCGCTCAAGAGCATCCTTAAGCGTTCTTGCCCAAGGACTCAGGGACGTGAGCTCTGGATCTTGCCAGGTGAAGACTGGGATGCGCTGCTCACCCAGTCACATGGGACCCTGCAGTGACAAACTCCTTACTCTGCCTGGCTCAGAGATTCCTCTCGGAGTCTCCTGTCGCCCTGGATCTCAGGCTCTGGTTTACCTGCCAAGCTTCCAGCTGCTGCGAGAGGTTCAGTTTCTGCTGAATGGCATCCAGCAACTGGCTGTTCAGAGACATCATATCCATCCTGCACTTGGCGAGTTCCAGCTCCACAGCGTTCTTCCTGAGAACAGACAAGCCAGGGTGAACATGTACACCTTGTGCCAGAGGCATCTGGGTCTTTACTTGGGGTACCTGGAGTCCACAGGATGAGGAAACAGGCTCTGATCCTGAACTCACAACAAACAGCAGCTGCAACAATAACTATGATGTTGCCTGTAGAGGGCTAGTTTGCAACATGTTTTCACATATATTCTCTCAGTTTTCATGACCAACCTGTAGGTGAAAGGAGTATTTGTCATCCCCACCTCACAGATAAAGAAACAGAAGTTGAGGGTGGGCGTGGTGGCTCATGCCTGTAATCCCAGCACTTTGGGAGGCCGAGGTGGAAGGATCACCTGAGATCAAGAGTTTGAGATCAGCCTGGCCAACATGGCAAAACCCCATCTCTGCTAAAAATACAAAAATTAGCTGGGTGTGGTGGCAGGTGCCTGTAATCCCAGCTACTCAGGAGGCTGAGGCAGGAGAATCGCTTGAACCTGGAAGGCAGAGGTTGCAGTGAGCTGAGATCACGCCACTGCACTCCAGCCTGGGCAACAGAGCAAGACACTGTCTCAAAAAAAAAAAAAAAAAAACAACAAAACCCCACAAAAAACCCATGAGGTAGAATATTGACAGTTCATAACATCTTGCTGAGTGGAAAAGCACCAGAAAACAGAATCTAGTATAACACTAGTTTTGTAAAACAAAAACTGCCTGTGTCCACTGGCTGCAGTGGCTCACGCCTCTAATCCCAGCACTTTGGGAGGCCAAGGTGGGCGGATCACTTGAGGTCGGGAGTTCGAGACCAGCCTGACCAACATGGAGAAACCCTGCCTCTACTAAAAATACAAAAATTAGCCGGGCGTGATCCCAGCTACTCTGGAGGCTGAGGCAGGAGAATCACTTGAATCCGGGAGGCGGAGGTTGCAGTGAGCCGAGATAGTGTCATTGCACTATCTTGTTGCCAGCTTGGGCAACAAGAGCGAAACTCTGTCTCAAAACAAAACAAAACAAAACAAAAAACTGCCGGTGCGTTCAATGGATATGCACAAAAATGTCTAGCTGGTTATCTCTGGGTGATTACTGATGGGTAACTCCTCTGACATAATTTTGCATTTTTTATTATCACATTTGTATTTCACGTATTACTTTGTTCACCTTTCCCAACATTCCTAAATCACAGCTGTTCAATGCAAAAGAAAATTAATTTTTTTCGAGGGCAGGGGAACGGGAATAAAGGCGGAAGGACCTCTGCAGAGGCAGCCCTGGTTGCCCAACTGCAGAAACGTGTATTATTTAGCCCTTGCCTTCATTAATCGCTCCCTCAAGGACTCGAAACAGCAAAGCTAACAAAAGCGTGCCCCTTGTACGGGGCCAGCGACTAATGTGCAGGACTCAAGGGCAGCTAGAGGATCCGCCTGCAGGGGCCGCCTAGCTCCAGCTTCACAACACCGACTGCACTAACCGAAGTGCGGCCGGAAAAAGGAACAGGTGGATCCCACTCGCAAAGTGCTCAGGCCACTGCTGCGACCAGCACTTCTTCTTTGGTTTCAGGTCTACCGAGCAATTAGCCACCTGTGCCGACACCGCAAAGGGCGCCCCGCCCGCCTTCCCTAGAGAAACCGCTCCAGACAGCTCAGCCACCGCATCAGCCCCGCCCACTGCGACAGCGATAGGACTCGAGCCCCGTCCAATGGATGCTAAGGACTCAGATGCCACAGGCTGCCTCCGTCACACCACTGCTATTGGCTGGCAGCAAGCAGCGGAAATCCTCACGCGCCATGGGTTGCCATGGACACCCGTCCAGCAGCGTCAGAACCCCTAGTGCCGCACGGCAGCCGCTGCCTCCTGAGCTTTCGGCGTCCCCCGGCAGGTGGCGCCCAGAGCAGCGGGAGCCCCAAGAATGTGCTGACTAACGCTGCCGCCGAGGGGCCGAGGGGCCGAGGGCTACAGCGGCGGCGCCGCGCCGGGCATGGTAGGGTTCCCTTCCTTCCCAAAAAGGCCCTGAGGCAGGGTCTGTCTGGACGACCTCCAATCCTGGCCACATGCTGCACCCTTGGGACATTTGCTCACCAAGGAATAAGTGCTTGTCATTCATGGGAAACCCCAGACCAGGATCAACACATTAATCACATTTTAAAAATAGGAATATTTCCAAGGGCTCGAATAATTCCTTTTTACAAATGAAACCACCACTAACTGAGTTGTTTTTGTAAGGCAGATTGCTAGCGCAAGATTTTTTTTTGGTTTTAGTGAAGGCCTTTCACCTGCAAGGAGATAAAAAAATTGCTACTTAATTTTCCTGAAACTCATTTATTGTATAGGAGAAGGCGCACCTTAAGGTTTCTGCAGCCCAGTGACGAGAAGGAAGTTATTTTTCTTAGGGATTCCACCCCTCACTACACATTAAAATCAACGGGGAAAGAAGTGGGCCCCAACTGACCCCACCCAGTGAATTCAACTGTATTGTTCTGGTGAGGTTCCTGGTGTCTCAGAGCTTCCCAGACGACTGTAATGTGTGGCCAGGATGGAGAATCAGAGAGAATGTATATGGAAGAAGTATCTGGTAAAACCAAGGTCCTATACAAATGGAGGGTGTGGTTTCCTCTTTAAATGATTCCTTAGGCTTGTTGTCTCAATTCTTGTGTAACAAAAATTCATTTCGAAGGTATAGGAAAAGAACTGTCCTCCCAGAGTAACCTAACTGCCCAGCCAGCCCTGTTCTATAGGAGTCCAGGAAGGACAGGACCCTTACTCTAGAGTTCTCCCTACTGGTGGAATCTTTCCAGAGGGGAGGATTTGCAAGTCTAATCAGGCTCCTGGATAGTAACTGGGCCTCCTTTCAAAGCAGGCAAGGGCACACATTTCAAGGTTTCATGTAGATTTGCTCACCTAGGTGGCAGAGCTAGGTTTTACTTTTTTTTTTAAAGGGAGGAAGACTGGACAACTTGCTGCTTCTCTCCTGCACCCTGACACTTTCTGTTTGTATCCCCCACCTTCCATCCCACCTTCCATGCTGATGACAGAATATGATCTTAATGTTCAGCTTCTTGTCTGAGAGAAGGTAACCAATCCATGTGTACTTCTATCTTCATTCTGCCTTTTGTTTTGTTTTGTTTTGAGGCCGGATCTTGCTCTGTCATCCAGGCTGGAGTGCAGTGGCATGATCACAGCTCACTGAAGCCTCAACCTTCTGGGCTCAAGTGATCCTCCCACCTCAGCCTCTTGAGTATCTGGGACTCCAAGAGTGTACCACCACACTCAGCTAATTTTTTTATTTGTATTTTTAGTAGAGACAGGGTCTCGCTATGTTGCCCAGGCTGGTCTTGAACTCCTAGGCTTAAGCAATCCTCCCATCTTGGCCTCCCAAAGTGCTAGGATTACAGGTGCCTTGCCTGGCCTCCTTCTGCTTTTGATTTCTAATGGACTTCCACGATTAGCATCTTCACTTTACCATTTTATTCCATCACACAATTTCACTGTTATTCATAAAGGTATGCTGCCTCCTCTATCACACTGTTACTTTTTTTCGAGGCAGGGCCTCACTCTGTCACCCAAGCTGGAGGGCAGTGGCAATCTTGGCTCACTGCAACCTCCGTCTCCTGAATTTGTGATCCTCCAACCTGGCTACTTTTTTTTTTTTTTTTGGTAGAGATGGGGTTTCACCATGTTGGCCAGGTTGGTCTCGGACGCCTGACCTCAAGTGATCCACCTGCCTCAGCCTCCCAAAGTGCTGGGATTGCAGGCCTGAGCTGCCGCACCCCAGCCTTATCACACTGTTTACTTAAGTATCCATTAACTAAATATAGTGGAAATCCAAGCAGCAAAGATACATCCTTATGTGGGCTTCACCAAGAACAATTTCTAAAATGAACTACAAACTGACAGACACCACGACATGAGGTTCTGACCAGAAAGAAAAGGGGACCCAAAAGTAAAACAGAAATGGAGATAATCAAAATGATGAAAGAGAACAGAAGCGAGGGGAAAGTGTGTGTGGAAATGAGAAGGTTAGAGTATGAGTAATTATTTTTTTTTTTTTGAGACAGAGTCCCCATTCTGTTGCCCAGGCTGGAGTGCAATGGCGCGATCTTGGCTCACTACAACCTCCGCCTCCCGGGTTCAAGTGATTCTCCTGCCTCAGCCTCCCAAGTAGCTGGGATTACAGGCGCCCACCACCATGCTCGGCTAATTGTTGTAGTTTTAGTATAGACGGGGTTTCATTATGTTGGCCAGGCTGGCCTCAAACTCCTGACCTTAGGTGATCTGCCTGCCTCGGCCTCCCATAGCGCTGGGATTACAGGTGTGAGCCACTGCAACCGTTCTGAGTATAAGGAATTTTAAAGTCAGAAGTGAAAATGTATGTCATACTATTTTTTTACAAAGGCATATAGTATCTTATTTACAAATTGTTTCCAAGGAGCTCATTTTAGCCTCCCAACAAGTAGCAGTGTAGCAGAGGGAAAAGGGTGTCAGGAAGATGGGAATCAGAAGACCTGAGGTGGAGGCTCATGAGTCACTGCTGACTGTGGCCCTGGCAAAGTATTTCTTAGTTTCCTCATCTGTAAAATTGGGATTAAAAATTTTTACTTCTTACTGTGGCTGGGAGGATTAAAGAATAAAAGTGTTGGCCGGGTGCTGTGGCTCATGCCTATAATCCCAGCACTTTGGGAGGCCAGGGTGGGTGGTTCACAAGGTCAGGAGATCAAGACCATCCTGGCTGACATGGTGAAACCCCATCTCTACTAAAAATACAAAAAATTAGCCAGGCATGGTGGCACATGCCTGTAGTCCCAGCTACTCGGGAGGCTGAGGCAGGAGAATCGTTTGAACCTGGGAGGCGGAGTTTGCAGTGAGCCGAGATTATGCCATTGCACTCCAGCCTGGGCGACTGAGTGAGACTCTGTCTCAAAAAAAAAAAAAAAAAAAAAAAAAAAGAATAAAAGTTATTTGTAAACTATAAAGTGATGTATAAATATTACTATTGGCTGGGCACAGTGGCTCACACCTGTAATCCCAGCACTTTGGGAGGCTGAGGCAGGTGGATCACTTGAGGTCAGGAGTTTGAGACCAGCCTGACCAACATGGTGAAACCCTGTCTCTACTAATACAAAAATTAGCCAAGCATAGGCGGCGGGCGCATGTAATCCCAGCTACTTGGGAGGCTAAGGCAGGAGAATCGCTTGAACCTGGGAGGTGGAGGTTGCAGTGAGCCGAGGTCGTGCCATTGCTCTCCAGCCTAGGCGACAGAGCAAGACTCCATCTCAAAAAAAATAAACAAAATAAAGAAATATTACTATTAATATGTTGTAAATGACCCCAAAGTAGATACATTTTTGGTAACTATCTCCTCACACTCCTTGAACAGGGTGGGGCTTGGCACACTGACTCATGCTTATAATCTCAGCACTTTGGGCAGATCCCTGGAGCCCATGAGTTCAAGACTAGCCTGAGCAACAGGGCAAAACTTCGTCTCTACAAAAAACAAAAACAAAAACTAGCCAGGTGTGGTGGTGTGCACCTGTAGTCCCAGCTACTCGGGAGGCTAAGAGATGAGAGTATTGCTCCAGCCCAGGAGGTCAAGGATGCAGTGAGCTGTGACTGGGCCACTATAATCCAGCTTGGGTGGCAGAGTAAGACCCTGTCTCAAAAAAATAAATACATAAAAAGTAATTCACAGGGGGATGGGGGATATGTAAGTATGTTTGTGTCCAAAGATTCTGAATGTAAGAGAATGCATTTATGAAGAAAATGTGGCCAGGCCGGGCGTGGTGGCTCATGTCTGTAATCCTAACACTTTGAGAGGTCAAGGTGGGCAGATCACTTGAGGCCAGGAGTTCGAGAGTAGCCTGGCCAACATGGTAAAACCCCATCTCTACTAAAAATACAAAAATTAGCCAGGCGTGGTGGTGTGTGCCTGTAATCCCAGCTACTCGGGAGGCTGAGGCACGAGAATAGCTTGAACCCAAGAGGCGGAGGTTGCAGTGAGCTGTGAGCATGGGTGACAGAGTGAGACTTTCTCTCAAAAAAATAAAGTAAAATAAAAGAAACGCAGCTGGGCGCAGTAGCTCACACCTATAATCTCAGCATTTTGGGAGGCTAAGGTGGGTGGATCACTTGAACCTGGGAGTTCAAGACCAGCCTGGGTAACATGGTAAAAACCCATATCTACAAAAAAATACAAAAATTAGCCCGGCATGGTGACACAGCTACTTGGGAGGCTGAGGAGGGAAGATCACTTGAGCCCAGGAGGTGGAAGCTGCAGTGAGTTATGATGGTGTCACTGCACTCCAGCCTGGGTGACAAAGAGAGACCCTGTCTCAAACAAACAAACAAAAAAACACAAAACATTTTTAAAAAGACCTAGTTGGCTGGGCACAGTGGCCCACGCCTGTAATCCCAGGACTTTGGGAGCCTGAGGAAGAAGGATTGCTTGAGCCCAGGAGTTCAAGACCATCCCCAGCAACATGGCAAAACCCTGTCTCTAACAAAAATACAAAAAATTAGCCAAGTGTGGTAGTGTGTACCTGAGGTCCCAGCTACTCGGGAGGTTGAGGTGGGAGGATCGCTTGAGACCAGGATGGGGAGGCTGCAGTGAGCCAAGATCATGCCACTGCACTCCAGCCTGGGTGACAGAGTGAGACCCTGTCTCAAAAAAAAAAAAAAAAAAAAAAAGGACCTAGTTTATTGGAAATATGAGGGACAGAGGAAAATGCTAAATGACGCTATGGTATGCAATCAAACCCAGAATGCAGCAAATCTATGAGACAAATGATCCAGTTTCTTCAACAAATAAATATAATATGAAAAAGAAAAAAGAGGAGATGTTACAGACTTCTGGGACACATCAGTTAAATAGAATATGTAGGCTTTGGAGTCTGACTCTAAATCAGTTATAAAAAGATATTTATGGGCCAACTGGGGAAATTCTAACATCAACTGGATACTGATGTTATTAAGAATTATTTTTTTCAAGTGTGATCACTGTATTGTGGTTTTTTTTTTGTTTTTTTTTTTTTAAAGTCTTTGTGGTAGAGATGTATACTGAAGTGTTCATGGAGGAGATGACACTATGTCTTGTGATTTAACATAATCCAACAGAGAGGTGGAGGAAGTGGGTGAGGATATAGATGAAATAACACTGACCATATGCTGATTAGTATTGAGGCTGAGATGAAGTCGTCTTACATCTTCTATTTTTGTGTTTGCTTAAAAATGTCCATAATAAAAAAATAGAAACAAAAAACAAAAAAAACTAAAAAAAAAAACATGAGGTAGACATATACATGCGATAAAATTGGAGGCCGGGTGTGGTGGCTCATGACTATAATCCCAGCACTTTGGGAGGCCAAGGTGGGTGGATCACCTGAGGTCAGGAGTTTGAGACCAGCCTGGCCAATATGGTGAAACCCTGTCTCTACTAAAAATACAAAAATTAGCTGGGCATGGTGGCAGGCACCTGTAATCCCAGCTACTTAGGAGGCTGACAGGAGAATTGCTTGAACCCGGAGGCAGAGGTTGCAGTGAGCCAAGATGGCGCCATTGCACTCCAGCCTGGACAAGAAAGGCGAAACTCCTTCTCAAAAAAAAAAAAAAGGAAAGTTCTTTAAGATATAAGTGCAAAAGAAGGCAAGACATGTAGAGTATCATCCTATTGATGTCTAAAAACACCTAACAACTACATTGCCTATATACCTACATATGCATAAGAAAAAGAGCTGCAAAAAATGCACACTTAATTTTCAATACTAGCATGTGTCTGGGGAGGAGAATGGGAATGGGGGTGGGGGTGGGTAGTGTGGAAACTCTAACTTTTACTTTCGTATTCTTTTGTATAATTTAATTTAAAAAATTGAGCATATGCTCAATTCTATATACTCAACTTTATCTTAAGAATAAAGTGAAGCCATCCCTACTCACTTTGCAATGGCCTCGTCACGGTCCTTGATGGCCTTCTGAAGCTGCTCCTTTGGCTCCTTGTCCTCAGATGTGACTCTGAGTCGGTCTCTCTCCTCTTTTAGGGCAGTCATCTCCACACTCAGCAGTGTCACCTAACAGGAGAATGAACATGGTATCACTGCTGCTATCCTGGGTGGTTTTCCCTCCAAGAGGGAAAAAGGAACAAAGAGACCCCAGGCAGACCCAGGGTACATGTGCAGGGGTGCAGCTGGTAGCATTCCACTGCCATCCTGCTCCAAGGAAGGGCCTGTCTCTCTTGAAGAAAGGGTACCACATCACATGCTAGGTTTCAGCTCCGCAGCAAGGGAGCTGTGGGAGTTCAGCCCTGGGCCTGCAGCTGTAGGCCAGATCCCCTTTGCACTCAGCACAGCATACCACCTCCTCCATCTCCAGGCACTCCAGGTAACAAGTGAACGAAGACCATAAGTCATCATGACACACATTTTTTAGGGTAGGGAATCCCGTTTCCTTTCCCACCATCTCTCACTCAACATGGATGCTGCTATCAACAGAGCCCTGGATGGTTCCAAAGCTGGAGACCCTGCTCCCCCGTGACAGCCCTTGGCACAGCCCAGCTCTCTTTTGTTCTTCCTCATTCAGCTCTCCAGGTGAAAGCCACAGGGAACTTAGACACCTAAGTGACATTATCATCTTTCACCTCAAACCTGTTACCTTTTCTGTGGCCCATGCTTCAGCAAAGGGCACCACTGCCTTCTCAGGTCCTCGTGCCCCAGCTGGGAGTCAACCTTTGACAGTGAGACACCCCTCCAGTGGCTCTGTCAGGGACCATAGCTTACCCTGCTCCACAGTACGGTAACCCTGTGTACACCATGATCTGTGTGATGGCAGGAAGCATGTCACATCCATCTGTGCATCCCAGAGCCTGGCCGTGTAGGGTGCTTAATCCCAAAGCAGCAGACAATTGTCATTTTTTGGCTAGTCATCATCCAAAATCTCTTCCCATTTTGGGGGCACTCCTGGTTGTGTGAGACTCTGGTGTGACACAAGGCTCGACCTCCAACTAAAGAAGCCAACAGGTGATAGACATTTCCTTTCCCAGGCAGCCTGGGCACAGGCCTGTGACCAAACTTGCCAGTTACAACCCCTTCCAGGGACTGCAGCTCTGAGCACAGCAAAGCCCCAGGCGAGTGGGGAATTAGTGACAAGGGTGGCAGTTTGTTTCTATTGTCCCTTTTCTCATGGCCCTTTCTTGTTTTGGAGCCGAGTTCTCCTACTTTCCTGTTGATTCTCTAAGCTATCAGGTCTAATACATTCTCTTTCGGCTTACATTAAGCAGAGTACATTTTTTGCTGTTTGTAACTAGAAACCCTGCCTGGTAGAGCTTTCAATAAATATTTATTGGAAAATTGAATAATGAAAGGGTGGGAGCCCCTTCTTCTCAGTTGATAAGATCAGACGTGAGTCAGGATGCCTAACCCTGCCTTCATGTTAAATATGACACATACTTTGACATTTTTCCAAGGGAGGATCCATCCATACAGGTCTGCCTCCCTCCCACAAGGGGACAGATGCCACCTTTCAGTATACTCCTCTGTTCTTCAAGTCCCAGGTCTAATCCTCTTCAGCTAGAATGAAACTGAGCAAAGGCCCCAGGTGTAAGGCTGAAGATCAAGCTTCCCTTGAAGTGTCTGAAAATCAATACACTTCAGACATTCCCCAGAATGAGACGGCAGAGCTGCCAGCCCCTGGGGTAGCAGCCACTCTGGAGGAATTCAGAGGACACCCAACAGTGAAGAGGGATAGAAGGACAATTTGTTGCCACCGTAAGCAATGGGTTTTATACTCTGCACAGTCTGGCAGGAAACATCAGGGCCAGATGCTCCGTACTGAGAACAGCCCAAAGCAGCAGCTTTCCTGGTAGGGACAGCTGGGTGAGAAGGGCGGAATTCTCGGGGAAGAACAGGCTGGAGCACCTGTGGCTACCCAGCACACATATGCCCTGAGGCAGACAAGGCACCAGGGCAGAGCCCAGCCCCCCCCCCCCCCCCCCCCATTTAGCAGCAGGCTCTGCAGCCTGGTAGGCCAGGACTCAATACCCACAAAGCACCTAGTAGAAACAGCCAGACCTCCTCTTAGACCAAATGAGCCCTGACATGGCTTTGGGCCAGCTGTGGGCCAGTCAGACGTTCTTACCTGTAAGGGACAGGTAAAACTACATGCTAGGCAGGAAAAGCCAAAATTTAATATGCTCCAAATAAAACTCCAGACGAACTTTTTACTTTGGCCCAAAAAACCTGGTCGAGTTACAGCCTACCAGACATGTGCCTTAGGAGAGGTGACAAGGCACTTGCCATCTTTGAGCTATACATACTTTTCATAAAAAGCAGGAATAAAAACAACTATTTCTCACCACTAAGTTGTTGTTGAGGATTATGAGATAAATGATATCAAGGGCTCAATGCAGTGCCTGGTGTATGGTTGTAAGCTCTACTCTCTCCTCCCTCCTGCAAGATGGGACCTAATCACTGCTGTCGTGATAATCGATCTGGCTTGTTTATACAAATACTTAGGTTACATCCACCCCCAAATCCACTTTTCCCAAATAAGGTGGGTGTCCCCGCAATTAAATAGCAAAGAAAACATTTAAAAGTCAGATATTGAGGGCTTAATTTGCTCTTTTGTTCAACAACATCTGAGTGCTTATTCTCAGCAAGGCACTGTGCTAGATGCTTTAGGAGAGGACACAGCTAGATCAGACCTTGAGCTCATCCTCCTGGGGTCTAGGGTTTGACTGAGAAGATGAGATGTGAGCAGGGTAACTGTGACAAGACAGAGCCAGGGGTGCTCCATGAGGAAGGAAATCAAGAGGGTTTCAGGGGGAAGTGACACTAGATTGGGAACTTGAAGGCTGAATAGCATGGAGATATGAGTAGGTGGGAGGGAAGGCCTTCTGGGCACAGAGAAAGCTGGGGAGAAGGCTCAGATGTGGGTAGCATGGGGTGCATGTGCCACCGCCCTTTATATCCTATGTTCAGTTCTGCTAAAGCAAAGGGGGCAAGAGGGAAACCAGAAGGATGGAGGCTGTGCAACAGGAATGCAGCCAGACTGCACAGCTACAAGGGCTCAAGGCTTCCTGCCATTTGATAATGGGAACCCACCCAGAACTTGTAAGGGGCGTCCCACTTTCAAGTCACGCTTCAGGAAGATCAATCCAAAGCATGTGAGGGTGGGCGGGCTGGGGGAAGGCAGATAAATTGGGAAGTGGTGACCACAGCCAGGATGTGAAAGGATGCAGGTCTTGAAATAGGGCAGAAGCTAAGAGGATGGAGGATGGAAGAGAGGGCCATGCTGAGATTTCCGAGGAGAGGCACCCAGATTTGGCAAGTGAAGCCCACAGGCTCCCAGCACTCTCTGAATGTTCATGCCCTTTCTGGAGTAACAAGTGTGCACTCGAGTCAAGCATGAAGGATCCAAACAACAGAAATGGGATGCTTCTGACTGAGCCTCCTGCGACCTGGGTGACAGGCCTGAGAACTGGCTGAGGGCCTCACTGATAATGTGTTCATATTCTACAGACTAATCACAGAAGACCCCCCTGCATCCTAGCAGCTGCTCCACGCGTACCAGAGGTGAGGGGCGGGCCACATGGGGAACAGAGAAGGAGGCAGTTCCTTGCCACTGACGGGGGTAGGGTAGGAGGGGGCACAACACCACATGAAGGACTTTGTTCCTTAAGAACAGTAACGGGTGCCAGCAAGTCTTCAGGTCTGGCTATGGATTTTGCTTCTAAAAAATAATTACCAGTCAAATTAAACCACCTTCCTTTATTTAAAAGTTTGGGTAGGCTTCCAGCCCCCACACCTTTGACCTTTGGCCTAGTTTTCAAGAGAGAAAAGAACACTCTCAGGTAACAGGCTCAGAGGCTGGGTCAGCCATCAGATGAGGTTTGAGCCCAGTCCAGGAGCTGTGTGCTAGAACCTCGGTCCCACCTAACTACATCTGGGTCCTGCCTCCAAAAGGGCTCAGAGATGGCTCTGACTGTCCTCACGGCACTGTGGGGTCCTGGAGAGCAGGGGCCCTGCACATCCATCTGTTGCCTCTCAGGATCTAGTGCAGCACTAGGCACACAGTGAGTGTCAGTGGATGCTGAACCAACCTTGCATGCAGAACGCCATGCCTGCTGTGATGGCTGCAATTTCTGCAGTCATTCTGGGACTCAGTCTGCACCCTACCCCTGCCTTGGGAGGCCAGTGTTGCTTCCGATGAGGTGGCCGGCTTTGCTAGGTTCAGTGCGGCTGAGGGGTTTTCTGCTTTGACTGAGCATTTGGGAGGAGACGACCTGCAGGAGAAGTCCAATTCTATACCCCGTGTGGGACGTGAGTACAACCTTCCACTTGGTGAACCATTTGTAAGAGAATCCATAGGAATTGGCCTAAATCATTATCAGCTGAACTTCTAAGAAAAATTTCCACGTGGAAATGGGTTCCTAAATATTCTACAATAGAATCTTGGCAACCTACAATTTGCTTATGTTTCTGAATAAAATAATGCCCCCCCCCCCCCCGCATCCACTGTGGAGTTCTAGTTTTACATTTCTGAGAAACAAAACAACAAAACCAGTTAATATTAAAGAACTCATAAACAGAAGCACCCTATGGAAATTTAAATAGGCTTTAAAATAAACAAAACTTTTATTAATCCAAAGACCTTACAGATCCAACGTTCTCCTGCATTTTATTTTTCCAGTTTAGAAGATCTGTCTCTGAGTCTGAATCACTCTCTGGCCAAATTACCTGCTGAAGAACTTAGGTTTCAGGCGGGCGAATGTCTGTGGCTGCCTAACCCAAGTCTCCAGCGTTTGGCTGCAAGCAAGCCACAGCTTTATGAGACAGAGTCTCACTCTCTCATCCAGGCTTGAGCACGATCTTGGCTCATTGCAACCTCTGCCTCCTGGGTTCAAGCAATTCTCCTGCCTCAGCCTCCCGAGTAGCTGGGATTATAGGCGTGTGCCATCACACTGGGCTACTTTTTCTATTTTTAGTAGAGACAGGGTTTCGCTATGTTGGCCAGGCTGGTCTTGAACTCCCAATCTCAAGTGATCAACCTGCCTTGGCCTCCCAAAGTGCTGGGATTACAGGTGTGAGCCACCATGCCTGGCCAAGCCACAGATTGAAATGGCATCTTTGTGTCCTTGTTATCTGGTCACTCACAGAAGGAAGAGGACAGTAGATGGCTGAAGGTGGGTCTCCCGATATTTTCCAAGAAAATATTAGGAAGACTAATGGGATGACCCCCCAAAAAGGGGAGTTTCTTTCTATAAAGATATTTCAAATGTAGGAAATACTGACTGGGGCCGCATGTGGTGGCTCACATCTGTAATCACAGCACTTTGAGAGTCCGAGATGAGTGGTTCTCTTGAGCCCAGGAGTTCGGGACCAGCCTAGGCAACATGGCGAACCCTCATCTCTACAAAAAAATGAGTTGGGCATGGTGGTGTACGCCTGTAGTCCCAGCTACTTGGGCAGCTGAGGTGGAAGGATTGCTTGAGCCTAGAAGTCAAGGCTGCAGTGAGCTGTGACTGCGCCACTCCAGCCTGGGCGACAGAATGAAACCCTGTCTCAAAAAGAAAAAAAAAAAAAAGAGGAAATACTGACTGAAGTGAAAGGCAGACTTAAATTCCATCTCAAAGAAACCTCATGCAGCAGCAATGAATGAACAGCTTTGAGCCAGGGAAGGAGAGGGGCAGAAGCAAGGTTTAGATGCTACTTGTTTGGTGCGACCCCAGCCCCTACTCCCAAGCAGCACAGAACCTCTACACATGACCACAGTCAACAGGAAGAGTCTTTATTTATCTCCTAGGACAGATTTTAGAAGCTCCGTTTTGAGTGGAGCTGCCTATAAGTCCTTTAAAGTTTCTCAGATCAGAATATAAATGTCTTTCTTCAGTGTTCTCTAGAAAGATGAAATCATGATCAAATGAGAAAGGAACAGCAAGGGTAACAGTAAGTTCTTCTAAAGCTGAAGAACAGGCTGAGAGAAGTGACGGCACTTACAAAAGGGAACTGTACGGTAAAGATCAATTGTTCCTTGGTTTGCAAACTTCCCTGCCCAGCAGCTGCTGGAAAAGCACCCACAAGTAGCCCAGGGGCTGTCAGCATCTACCAGTCAGATTAACTTTGGCTCTGTATAAGGCAGAGTGTCACTGGAGGAAACGGAGGACCTGCTGTTCTTATCCTTGCCAATTTTACTTCAGGCTAAACTAAGGGACTGGGTTCTTCTCTTGAAGACACTCAGTTTACCTCAACTTCAGGTCACCATTCCCTGATGATTTGACGAAGGCGAGCCACTTCTCATACAGAAATGGGAGAGAGAAACTCACAAGGGTCCCAAGGGAGCCAGGGGCAGGTGCACATGCCCTGCACTGGACTGAAGGTGGGGATGCTCACCTGACTGTGGAGTCGCTGCAGCTCTTCTAGGCTTTGCCTCAGTTTACCCCTCTCTCCCTCCATGAGCTCCCTTAGGGCTCTCGAGTCCTCACTGGTCTGCCTTATCTGTTCTTCTAAGGAGTCATCATCAAGTCTCCGGGAGCCCTGACAGCAAAAGAAAGACAGCCACAGATATGGTAAGGGTACAGAAGACATGGGGCGGCAGGAGAGAGATGGTTAGTCGGGGGAGAGAAGTAGAGGAGAAACGGGGGAGAGTGGAGGAATGATGTGGTGAAAGATAGTAGGGAAGATGGAGGGAGGAGAAAAAGGAGGAGAGAAGAGACAAAAGGTGCAAGGAAAGAAGGGGTCAAGAAGAGAGATTGCTCAATTTCAACCTGCAAGCAGATGTTCCCTTTTGTTTCAGGCTTGAGGGAAAGGAAGCAGTGTGGCGGGAATAGCACACCACACTCTGACAGCTCTCTTCTCCCACAATGACCTGGCCTCATATTACGATACCGCCCACAAATCAATACAGCATGGTCAGACAGAACAGCTGCCCTTCATATTACTTTACCCAATACAGGTAGAAAGACACAACTTTTCTGTAGGAGGATGAAACGTGGGGAGAAATAATAGCCCAAAAGCTGGGAGTGTGAGTGGAGGGGAAGTCAGGGAGAAATGTGTCATGAAGCTGGAAGAAATGCCAGACTGCCCAGGATGCCCATGGGAACAGTCCTCTCCTCCACAGGTGGCCACATGTGGGATTCTAAAAGGCCCTTAGAGCTGATCTTCCCAACTTCCTGTGCTCACTTACATTCTTTTGGCGGAAGCTTCAGATCTTTTACTTTTGCCAATTCACAGCTAACCCTACCACTAGGACCAAAGGGCTACAGAATAGCAACTTACAGTTTTAACTTAGATACAAACTTTTATATGCAAAGTTTCCAAAGAAAGCCCTTAAACTAGAAGCCCCCATTGTCTGTACATCACTACCTGGAGAAAAAGGCTCCATGTGTACCTGGTGTGTGCAGGAAGCTGACTTTGGAGCCCTGGCATTTGGCCCCTCTGCCTCATCACGGCTGTAGTTGGTGTTCTCAAATAAGGGTTCATGGCCAGGCGCGGTGACTCACGCCTGCAATACCAGCACTTTAGGAGGCTGAGATGGGTGTATCACTTGAGGTCAAGAGTCAAAACTAGCCTGGCCAACATGGTAAAACCCTGTCTCTACTAAAACTACAAAAATTAGCTGGGTGTGGTTGATGGTGCATGCCCGTAATCCCAGTTACTCAGGAAACTGAGGCACGAGAATCACTTGAACCTGGGAGGCAGAGGTTGCAGTGAGCCGAGATTGTGCCACTGCACTCCAGCCGGGGTATCAGAGCGAGACTGTCTCAAAAACAAAATCCAAAAAAATCAATAAGGGCTCAGAAGAATTTTTGCAGATATTTTATAGGGTTCCAGTTCCAGGGCTGACCTCACCCTATGCACTGGGTTCTAACCCCTCACTAGCCAGCTCCTGTGGGGTAAGGACCATCTCAGACTGGCCTCTTACCGTGGGCTCCATGCCATCCACAATGCTCTGTATCAGTCTCTTGAGCTCATTGAGGGCAGTGCGCAAGCTGCCGGCTGGCACATCCTTGGCGGATGAGGTTTCTGAAGATTCGTCCATGGAGGAGTCCGTGGAGACGGCTGAGTCAGCGCTGTCATTGCCTCGAAGGTGTGAGCACAGGTAGCGAACCTGGCAGTAGGCTTCCCAGAGCTGCAGTCTCAGCTGTTCCACAGAGAATTACTATTCATTACAGACTCTAGAGAAGACTGCTACCCGGCCATCTTTTTCTAGCATCTGAACCCAAAATACTGATACCCAAGACACCAGTTCTAGGAGAAAGGGTTTTTTGTTCTGTTGTTGTTGTTTTTTTTTTTAACTCATTGGTCCCAAGAAATAATACTTATTCTGAACCAAGTACATCTATACAGACTCCAAATTCTTATTCTCCCTGTTCTCTAGCTTCTTCCATTTGCAATATAAAGCACTTCTTTATGTAATCAGTTACTTTGGTGGGAGTCAGAAACCAATCAGGGGAATGAATGGTTCTGGGTATTATGAAAAGTGTGAAAAGAAACCAATTAGATGGAGAAGATGGATCATGACGGCTCTGGAACTCTGTCAATATAACAGGTATGGAGCTGATGGCACAAGCATTTCCTAAGAGGAATTGGGGTGACAATGAGTGGGAATTGGCTGTGCCTATGATACTCTGTCCTCTAGCAATTCTGCTCAATGCCTTAATGGATAAGGTGGGTGGAAAATGGAGGGCCAGGGACATGCTCCATCAGGGCCTGCTTCACGACACTCTAGCCAGCAGGCCAAGGGGCTAACACAGGCACAGGGGCACAGCCTTGCCAGGATGGCAGCTGAGTGCTAGGGAGGAGGACGGGCCCTGAGCAACCCCAGGTAGCCTCGCCTGTGGGGTGACAGGCAGGTCAGCACCTGCTCTCGCTCTTGCTCCAGCTCCTCAGCCTCCATGCTCTGCTCAATCTCTGACAGGAGGGATGTGCTGGTGGCGGCAGAGCTCTGCAGACTCCTCTCCTCAGTGAGTTCTTCCACCTTCACCTGCAGCTGTCGGCAGGAGAGACGCACCTCCTGAAGCTCCAGGTGGCTTTGGTGCAGCTTTCAAAGAAAGAGCAAATGGTTTGAGGTTTACGAAACACAAACACCAAGACAAACTGACCCCTCAACCTGATCATGCTTCTGGGTCCAACCACCAATTTACAGAAAAATAAAAAGGAGAGAGGAATATGTTAAACTACATCATGAGACGCACTCAGCAAAATCCAGATCTAGAAAATTCTGACCGGGCACAGTGGCTCATGCCTGTAATCCTAGCACTTTGGGAGGCCGAGACGGGCAGATCACCTACGGTCAGGAGTATGAGACCAGCCTGGCCAACATGAGGAAACCCTGCCTCTACTGAAAATACAAAAATTAACTGAGTGTGGTGGCGGGCGCCTGAAATCCCAGCTACTTGGGGAATGAGGCAGGAGAATCGCTTGAACCCAGGAGGCGGAGGTTGCAATGAGCCGAGATCACACCACTGCACTCCAGCCTGGGTGACAGTGTGAGACTCCATCTCAAAAAAAAAAAAAAAGAAAAAGAAAAAAGAAAATTCTACAGGACAAACAACTCCATTTCCTTAACAAAAACATTGCAAGGGGAACAAATGATAGAGGAGGAACACAGAAATAAAAAAAGACTTGAGTTATACCAACCAGGCCAGGCGTGGTGGCTCACGCCTGTAACACCAGCATTTTGGAAGGCCAAAGAGGGCAGATCATCTGAGATCAGAAGTTCAAGACCAGCCTGGCCAACATAGTGAAATCTGTCTTTATTAAAGTACAAAAATTAGCTGGGCATGGTGGCGGGCGCCTGTAATCCCAGCTACTCAGGAGGCTGAGGGAGGAGAATCACTCGAACCCAGGAGGCAGAGGTTACAGTGAGCCGAGATCACCCCATTGCACTCCAGCCTGGGCGACAAGAATGAAACTCCGTCTCAAAAAAAAAAAAAAAAAGAGTTATACCAACCAATCGCACTGTGTAGGCCCATTTTAATCTGTATCTTGATTCAAACAAAAATGTGAAAAAATTATGACATTTATAAGACAAGTGAAAATCTGAACACTCACTGGGCATTTTATGGTATTAAGAAAATATGCTATTTTTTTGGTATAATAGTACTGGAGTTACATTTTTTAAAGTTCTTATCTTTTAGAGGTTAGTACTTTTTATTTCTAGATGAACTTATTAAAATCTGAGATTTACTTCAAAATAACGTGAGAGAAAAGGAAATGGTTGTTATGAAGATGGGGCAGCACTGGGCAGGGACTGGTGGTTTTCAGAGCTGGACTTCATTACACTGTGCCACTGTGGAATGTTTGAAATCCTTTGCAATAAAAAATCAAACACACACAGGCACACAAAGTGAGATACCATTAGAGTCTCACCAAGATGGCTAACATAAATAACACAAATAATATCAAGTGTTGATGAAGATGTGGGGCAATGCCGGTGGGAGTAGAAAATGTACGAATACTTTGGAAAATTGGCAGTTTCTAATAAAATTAAATATATATTCTATGATCCAGCAATTCCACTTTCAGCTGTAGACCCAACAAAAACGAAATGTGCACAACAGACACACACAGGATGTTCAAATAACCACAAATGGGAAACAATCCAAATGCCAATAAAAATAGAATAAGTAAATTGTGGTATGTTCACATGTTGGAATACTACACAGCAACGAAAGAATATACTACTACCATATGCCACAACATGGTTAAATTTCACAGACACAATGTTAAACAAAAGCCAGACATAAAAAGTATACATGAGTCTATTTATAAAACGTTCCCAAACTTCACTGAGGTAGAAAAAAGTTGGAGTAGAGGTTTGCTTTTGAGGAAGTGGCAAGTATTCTTTTTAGGGTGCTGATCGTGGTCTGTAGATTTGATCTCCATGATGGTTACACAGGTATGTATTTGTAAAAATTAATTGGGCTGTCCCCTTAAGATTTGTATGCTTTACTATATATATTTTTTCATGAAAAAAAATTAAGGGAAAAAAGAATAGCTTGGAAAGGAGCTGGAGGTGGAAACGGGAGTAGCATCTGGATAGTAATACCAAGAGTTTCTACCCCAACCCAACCGTTAGAGGCAAGGCCCTAGGCTGGTCCCTCGCTTCCACATCAGGTAGTTGAGCCACAGGTGAAAAGTGACTTTCCTAAAACCCTTGTGAAGCAGAACTGGTCTGATGACTCCCAGTCCAGGGGTCTTTCCGGTTTCCACATACCTTATTTGTTCCAGAGAGACATTAACAGATGAGATAGTAACTTATTTTGAAGATCTCTAAGGGAGGAAGTCCCACAGCTTCAGTTCTAACTCTCATGGGCAGAAATGTCCACAGTTTTGCCATGTCTAACATCAGTCCTTCATCCTGCACGTTCACCTGTTTGTTCTCTCTCAGTCCTTTTCTGAAGACTGAAAAGAGCTAATTACTTGGGAGATACTCCTTTTCAATAGCTTTCCAAATAGCTCTATTCTGCAAGCCAAATATTATATATATTATACGTCCTTTAGACTTTTCCCAGCCTCTCTCTCTTGATTTTTAAATGATCTCAGAGATTTTCACATAAGCCTACATTTTTAGAGCTAGCAGAGCCACAGAGATCAATGAATCCAACTATGTCAGGATAAAACTGAAGCTTAGAAAAGGGGAATGGTGCTAGTGGTAGAGAGGAGACAGCAGCACAGGGGTCAGGAATTGTGGGCAGTACTCTTTCCTTCTCTCTCCATGCTGCGACTTCACCCCCTCCACCCCACTGCATTCTCCATGGCCCCTTCTGTGTGGAGTTCACAACAGGGCACGACTCTCTGGGGAGGTCACTAATGCTGAATATAAGGGGATGACCCAGCCACAACTGCTAAATGCTATTTTTTGAGTCTCTGTCGCCCAGGCTGGAGTGCAGTGGCGTGATCTTGGCTCACTGCAACCTCTGCGCCCTGGGTTCAAGCAATTCTCCTGCCTCAGCCTCCCTAGTAGCTGGGACCACAGGCATGCGCCACCACATCCAGCTAAATTTTGTATTTTTAGTAGAGATGGGGTTTCCCTACATTGGCCAGGCTGGTCTCGAACTCCTGACCTCAAGTGATCTGCCCATCCTGGCTTCCCAAAGTGCTGGGATTATAGGCATGAGCCACCACGCCCGGCCTAAATGCTATCTTCTCATCTGTGCACTCCAGTCACTAACTTGCTTTTAATACAGCAGACTCTAATTGTGGAATTGTCATCAGTTTGCTAGCAGTTAGGAACATGGCCACATGCCACATGCCACATCTGCCCAGGAGCAATGTTTCCCACTCTTCATATCTGTGGACTGCAACACCCCACTCCAGGTCCTTAGAAGACTTTCAGGAAGTGGTGGTGGGAGGGGAGAACTTCTTGGGATTTAAATTAAGCTAATTTATTCTGTTATAAAACAGCATTTCTGGGGTCACCTCTGTTCCATTAAAAAGAAAGTAGATACTGCACTGGTCTTTTCCAGACTCGTGGCTGAGCTGGCTTGTGGCTCCTGCAGAAGTGCAGACTGGGGTGGCTGGCAGCCACTTAGAGCTCTGTAGTTCTCATGAAGGAAGCTGCCTTGCAGAGCCTTTGACCAATCACTTAGGTGTCCCGGGAGTCTCACCTTCACCATCAGCACTTGGAAATGATTGACTAACGGCACCAGTGATCTGGAATAGCCCTAACTAGGAAGGGTTTGGAGCCTGGCTGCCCAGAGAATGAAGAAAGGATTGGCAAGCCTGCTCTGCATAGTTCTGGTGGATCAGCAATACCTGCTGGTCCAGTGGGAACTTCTCCAACCTGTTTTGAGGAGACTCAGAAAGAAAAACATCAGGGTTACAGGAAAAAAGGAGACATTCCTAGGAAGCATTTGGCACAATTACAAATGGCATATTAAATTGGCAAAATGCTTCATAATTATTTTTTTAGACAACTCCACACACATCGCAGCAGGAGGAAGTTAGGCACAGACAAGTACAAGTTCTTACATACTGGACAAAATTAGTTCAATTACTCATGCACACTCAAAGGTGCTTAATTAATGATAACAGCAAGGGAACAAAAGACCAGGAGAGGTCTGCACTCTCCAGTCAACAATTGATTCACCAACTGGATAGACACAAGAAGAAAAACCAAACCAAACAAGGGAAGTCTATTACATTTAAGAGGCCTTTAAAATAAGAAACATCATTCTTTATATGACAAAGGTGACACTAAGTATACTTGTATGTATGAATGAGAATGACACCAAGTGCTTTGTGTTTGTATAGTACACTACATTTACGCTCATCTGAGGGAACTGGGATGGTGTGATGTTACGTGATTTGCCTAATGGTACACAGTCAGCATTAGAGCAAGGTCTAGGCTCCAGGTCACCTGCTTCCTGGGTTGCCCCACAGTGAGCAGGGCCTGTGCTCTGCTGATGGAATCCACCCAGTCGCTGGGACTAGGCCCTGCACACATCTGTAAAATGCCCAGCTCAGTATGAGACAGGGCAGTGAACTGGCCCTTAGAGGGACAGACAGATTTCCTTTACTGGATAGTAAGAGTTTGGCAAAATACTTGATATATACTCGGTGCTCAATGAACAATAATTTTTATGCTTATTCTCAGGTCTGAAAAAACTCAGAGTTGGATTTGATCAGTTGTTTAAAAATCTGTTTTTGACAGCAGGACCCCAATTATATGGTGAAAGAGATCAAAAGGGGGCTCCTCTGGTTGTGACAGGCCTGTTGCCTTGCCTGCTCAGCCATACCTCACCCTTGTCTGAGGATTTAAAATCAAGGGATTAAGTACATTCCAAGGCCACTAGCTTTACATTTTACAAGTATGGTTTAGGATCATTCAGCTGCTACCTGAGTAAGCTGGATTTTTTATTTCTGTATCAGTACAGGCCATTTTAGCAACAGAAAGGACTTTCTGGAGGACACTGGTAATTAGTGGCAACTTGAGAGTTTCACATGAACTGAAGGACTATAATGATAAATTGTTAGGGAAGATGAGAATTCAGCCTGTAAATGCAGATTTTCCAAATCAACTGAGTACTGCCTGACCTGCTGCAGGTCCTTAGGTGAATGACACCTTCTCAGTCTTGAAGTTCAACAGGAAGACAGTGGATGTGCACATGGTGAGCAAGTGCATGTGGCATGATGGGATTCTCGCTGCTAGAGAATGTACAGCCCACAGTGCTGGTCAGGCCTCTGATGGCCTACTAGTCCTTCCTCTTTCCTGCTACCTAGGCCCCTAATTTTTGATTTGAAATAAGGACTTTTCACTGTAAATTCATGCTGAACTGAAAGTTTCTTTTAGGCAAGGGTCATTTTTCTCTTTCTCCATACTTATATTCCTTCTCCTCCCATACTGTATGTCAGCAACCCTCAGGAAAGCAGCCTGATAGGGTAATAAATGCTGGTCAGGAACTGACTTTCGGAGGCCAGTGATACCAGGAAGTTATTACTGAGCTACAGGTAAAGCAGATGAGAGGGTTCCAGTCTCGATTCTACCAAAGACTCACTACATGACTTTGGATAAATGATTCAGTTTTTCTCAATATCAGCTTTATGACGTATGCTAAAAGCACCCTGTATGCCAAAGAGGCACGCAAATGTTCACTGCTATTATCATCATCAACCTTGAAAAATCAGCAAACTCTTTTCCATCTTGAAAACTTCTGTAAAGTTTTAGCCAGCACCATTTTCTACTCAACATTTACTGAGGCACTACTATCAATATATGAAAAGTTACTAGCTGAAGATACTAAAAACATGGAGAGAGAAAAGCCATTCATTTTCCCTCAAAGAGGTTCATCACTCAGGTGTCAGCCTAGCTGATGGTGGCAGGGACAAGTAATCTTAGCCCAAGATACTATATTTCCTTATCCCATACCCCAAGGCTTTCAAACGGCCTACCTATGAGCCCAGTGGGACCTTCTGTGGCCTAGCCTTTGGGTGGAGACCCATCTGGTGCTTGAGTACACCTGGATGACCACCTCTGCACAAATATCACTGTTGCAATCTAGTGCACTCCCTGGCATGAACAGAGAATGCCAAAGGGAAGCAATGCACTCTGAGTTTCTGACCCCGGTCCTCCTAGGCCAGCCCAGCAAAGCATCTTGATAGCAGATGCTGTACTCTATTTCTGGGAAGACTGGAGTGATGATATCTTTTTGTTTTGGGGTTGTTTCTTGTCAAGCGTGAGCTTGGGGATTCAGCTGAGGCCCGGTAGCAGTTCCCAAATAAGAACAAATATGGCCATGAAGCAATTTCCTTCGGGAAGGAAAAAAAGAGACTGATTAGGTTCACAAAGGGTTCAGTCTATGCCTTTTCTGGCAACTGGCAGAAGCAGAATATAAACCTTGCTGTGTTCAGTGGGCAGCTTCGGGTTTCTGCTCCATGCCAACCAACTAAATCCATGAGCTTGGGAAGACAGCAGCAGAGAGCATTATGAGCTGAGTCAGAGAGTCACAGGCTCCCTCTGAAACCTTTTAGCAGATTTCACAAATGCTAGGAGGCCAGAATAGCACTCCTGGTGTTCCAGTCATGTTAACCCAGAGAGAACTCTGTGAAACTGCTCCATGGGCCAGTGGCTCAGAATACATTGGAGAAATGATCTGTGGGTAGCAGTGCACTTCCTTTAGGCAGAGTCAGAAGAGTCAAGTTAGTGAATGCCTCAGGCCCCACAGTGAGACCTAGGCATCATCCACTCCTGGCTTACCCCAGCAGTGATGCTGGCCTCCCAGCCTTTTCTTTTTGGCTAAGTGCTCCTTTTATCTGGCTCTAGTCCTGCAGGACAGCTTCTCTACCCCAGTACCTGTAGGTCCTTGTCATGGCCCTGCCTCTCCAGGATTAGCACCCGGTCCTGTAGCTCCTCCACGGTCCCTTGGAGCAGGTCATTTTCCTCTAAAGTAGCGCTGAGACGATGCTCCAGCTCCCGTTTCCGATCTGACAGCATCTTGATCTGAAAGGGTTGGAGAGCCACAGGGGTGGTGTGGAGTTACACCCGGGCTGACAAGTAGGAACTAGGGACTAGCCCCAAAACATGAAGGCAAGTATCTTTCAGTGTTCTGCCCAATGTCACGGTACCCCCATCTCTGAGAGAATAACTATGAAACCCTAAGCTGAAGAGAAAACCCCTCCCCTCTAGAAACCTGTCTGGGAAGGGGTGGGAGTTGATCTCTGGGGAAGCTGGAATGTGGGATGCCAGGCAGAGGAAGGGAAGGCTAGTGCTCTGGAAATTCCAGAGATAAGATAAAAAAGGGCTCCACCTTGCCTGCTCTCAACTTTACCCCATCCTTACAATTGGCAGGAGGAGTGGAACCTAACCTGCTGCACTGCTTCTCCTCCTCAAGTCACGAGCACAAGAAAATGCCCAGGAAATCCTCTGGAGCGCCATGTTTTCACACCCCAGGATTCGTCTCTGTCTTCCTTTCCCCGCTCCTGGCTCCACTGGCACTAGAGGTCACAGCTCAGACCCAGTGCCTTGAGTTAAGGGAAGAGCTCCCAGGGTACAAAAAGCAAAGTAGTGCCTGCATCAGCCTATGTCCTGGGACGGAGCAGGACACAGATACAAGTGAATGCTGACTTTACTCAGAATAACTTTTACCTGAGGGAGTCATTCGTGAAGAGGCGCAAATTCTTTTCATGAAACAGGTTGATATGTTTGTATACACTGAATACCTAGTCAGTCTCCACATACGTAAATCTTTTAGGAAGGTCTGCCTAATCTCTTCAGCGTCAGTGAGAAAACAGAGGCAAAGAGGAAAGAAATGCCAAGTCTCCTCTGGCCTCATGGTTTGTAGGGTGAGAAGCTGAGCCAGTGCTCCCAAGGCCAGGGATGCTTCACTCAAAAAACCATCACCCTGGCTCAGGGGCTCCAGAAAGCCTTGCCAATTGGATCTGACTCTTAGGGGATCTTCTGGAATCCTGGAGGTCCTCGTGGATCCTCCCATTTATTTAGCAGTGCCCTGCTGGACTGATTCTCAACCAGCTTCTTGCTTGTAAATATTTTCTTGACATGGTTAAAATATTCTCCAGGCTCTCCATTCCAGCTTTGATAACAATTCCTTAAAGCTTTTACTTGGGCAAGTTTTGGGGACCAATCTTAGAACTTTTCCAGGGGAAATCCTGAAATGAATGTCTAGCTTGTTTCAAGTCCTATGAGATACAATTTTCCCTTTACTTTTTAGCTGTTCTCACTCTCTGAACTAGAATTCTGCTCGCAGGGCACAGATCTTCTCTGGCCACCAATCCAATCAGATAGGATGTTGTCCTGGAGAAACAAAGTATGTGGCCTTTGTCCAGAGAGATCAGGTATCTGGCCAAACAAAGAAATATTGTCTCTCAAGTGTGCACCTGGGTAGGGGACCAAAAGGAGCAAGCCCCTTTTGTGAATGGGTCCACTATTTCCTACACTGAAGCAAAGTCACCCATGTGAAGAGAATTCTTACTCTAGTTGATTTTCATTTAAATACCCTCTGACCTTTAAATTTTCCTTCCCATGAATCATCTTTGTTTCCCAAGTTTCAGTCAGTGAAGTGATGGGGTAATAAGATTCTGATACACAACTGACCCTAAAAAAACTTAGTTCGGAGCGGCCGGGCGTGGTGGCTCATGCCTGTAATCCCAGCACTTTGGGAGGCCAACGCGGGAGGATCACAAGGTCAGGAGACCGAGACTATCCTGGCTAACACCGTGAAACCCAGTCTCTACTAAACATACAAAAAAAAAAATTAGCCGGGCGTGGTGGCAGGCGCCTGTAGTCCCAGATATTCGGGAGGTTGAGGCAGGAGAATGGCATGAACCTGGGAGGTGGAGCTTGCAGTGAGCCAAGATCTTGCCACTGCACTTCAGCCTGGGAGACAAAGCGAGACTCCATCTCAAAAAAACAAACAAACAAAAACAAACAAAAACACACACACACACTTAGTTTGGAGCTACACAAAGTAACTTACTTGAAACAAACAATTTTCATAGCTTGCCTTTTAAAGGTAGCAGTGTTCACGGACAAAGCAGGAAATCAGCGTTAGGCCACTAACTCCCTCACCCAACCCTACACACCCTGAAACTTGTGAACAAATCTCGCAATAAACATTCCTGGGGATGACCCGGTTCATGAGGGTCTAGAAAAAGTGAACGCATCGGGGAAAGAGGAAGACAGAAAACTTGAAGGAGTCAGAGGCTGGCAGAGGCAGGTGAATGGCAAGTCATGCACACAAATGGTCACATACAGGCATGCCAAACCCCACTGGAACAAACTCTACTTACTTCAAGGACCTGCTGCTCAATACCAGTAGGCATTCCAAGGGAAAGGGGGAAGGAAGGGAATGGGAGGCAGGAGAAAACAGAAGATATTGACAGACTTTAGGAAAAACATCCTCAGGTCATTTACCAAGCAGGGGAGCAGGCTATCTGGGTTTCTCTAGCCTGACCCTGATGGCTGATTGCTTCATCACAGTGGAAGGTTACTTGTTCAACCTGGCTCTAGACTGTCCTTCAAACTCTGACTTAGCAAAGGGGCTGCTGTCCAGATACTTGGCAAAAGGGTCCTCAAAAGCAGACCAGGTGGAAGCCTCCCCCGGGGGCAGGCCTGGTTTGGGCTGGTGATAAGATCCTTACCCTCTCTTCACCTTTCACAACCAGATTCTCAGAGTATTGTTCCCCTGCCGATACTTTCTTTTTCCCCTCATCTTGGCCCTCACGTTCTGGCCTCCCTTATGGTTTCAATAACATCAATGTGTTCCAGGTATCATATAAAGTGCCTCGTATGCATTAACCCATAATATCCTTACAAAAACCTGTGAAGTAGAAACTTCTATTTCTCTCATTTTGCAGATGAGAGTAACAGCAGACCTTAGTAAGATGGACTGAACTGGGCCTAAATGGAATAGAGAAAGGCGAGATGTCCTTTCCCACCTCCTATTTCGGATTGGCAAGGATATTTTTAGAGAGATCAACATATTCAGTAAAATGTAGGTCATCTGTGATTTCAATACACCCGGCAGTAACTCTGAGCAACTTCATTTTTCCAGACAACGACCTACCCAAAGAAATATAGATCAAATGTTCCCCATTTAGTTTTGCACAGAAATGTCTTTCTGTAGAGATTTTAGTCCCTTTTACATAGAGCAGTTTTTTGTCTCCCAGTGAGAAAAGCATTCCACCTTCCAGCACTGCTGTGTGGGGAGGCTCACCTCAGCCTGAAGACTCTCCAGCCGGATGATGTGCTGGTTGGTTGACGAGTTTTTCTCCCGAAAGTCTTCTCTGAGGGCATGGACCTGCATGGAGAGTTGTCTCTCAACTTCTGATGCCTGAAACAGAGGAGACCTGCAGAGCTGATTCAGAGGTTATGCAAAGAAGTCTGTTAAGATTTCTGTCTTTCGCCGGGCGCGGTGGCTCAAGCCTGTAATCCCAGCACTTTGGGAGGCCGAGACGGGCGGATCACGAGGTCAGGAGATCGAGACCATCCTGGCTAACACAGTGAAACCCCGTCTCTACTAAAAATTACAAAAAACTAGCTGGGCGAAGTGGCGGGCGCCTGTAGTCCCAGCTACTCGGCAGGAGAATGGCGTAGACCCGGGAGGCGGAGCTTGCAGTGAGCTGAGATCCAGCCACTGCACTCCAGCCTGGGCGACAGAGCGAGACTCCGTCTCCAAAAAAAAAAAAAAAAAAAGATTTCTGTCTTTCATTTATCAAGCATCTCTTTGCACTTTCCATTCTATAAGGAGCACTAGATGAGATGCTGGTTTCCCACGCACCATTCATTTGTTCTCTAGTGCTAAAACAGGACAAACTCCCACCCCCACCTCCACCATTAATGACTCTGTCTAGGTCCAAGACCACTTGACTGATCAGAAGAAACAGCCCTAGGAAATAGTATGCTCTCAAATGTTAGTTATCATTATTACTCTACATATAGAAGAAACTCAGCAAATATCTACTAAATTGAAAGTCTGAATATTTTACATGAAAGAATAAGATGGTTATACCTACTGCCTTAGAAATTCCTTCATTTCTCCCATCAATTTCCTCAAGTGGGCTCAGTCAAATCACACGCATCTGCATTTCTCTCCTCTACTTAACATGGGCACTATTTGAAATTGCTTGTCATACCTGTTAAGATTTTTGCCACTCATTCCTCAAGGACATTTTTGCAACTTTTAATTCTTTGGGGAGTGCCAGCAGAGGTGCCTATTTCCCACCTCAATCCATTTATGATCTAATGCTAAAATACATTAGATCATAACCATAACATAACACCAAAATATCATTTGGTGTTGTAGGAGGCTAACTTGGTAACAAAAATTCCAGCCCTCCTCCTGAGGGTCCCAGGCCAGACCCTGCTGAGGGAGCGCTGCTCACTGTCCTGTGGAGAGGAGAGCCATGGGATAAATTAAGTAACTGCCTCAATGCTTTTTTGAGGCCAAATGGGGTCAGTAAGCTTTATGGGTTCTTGGGAGAGATCACCGTGTGCTGGAACGGCCAGGAAAGACTTTCCAAGGAGGTGGGACGGTAATAATGTTGAAATGGTAGACTAGCTGTTCAATGAGGCTCTCATAGTAATGGTTACATGTTTAATAGTTCTTTTTATCTTCAAGTACTCTATAGTCAATTGTCCATCTTTTTTATTTTTGGTTCCACATATTCAACAAATGTTACCTCACTGGACTACAGAGCCACAGAAGATTCTTAACCTACTCACTATTTTTAAAACAATTACAAAACACAGAACAAAATAAAATAAAACCATACTCTAGCTGATTTTCATTTAAATACCCTCTAACCTTTAAATTTTCCTTCCTATGAATCATCTTTGTTTCCCAAGTTTCAGTCAGTGAAGTAATGAGCTAGTAAGATTCTGATATACAACTGACTCCTTAAAAAACTTAGAAGTTCAGAGCTGCATGAAGTAACTTTCTTGAAATGAACAATTTCATAGCTTGGCTTTATGATGCAAGGAATCAGCATTAGGCCGCCAACTCCCTCACCCCACCCTACACACCCTGAAACCTGTGAACAATTCTGGCAATAAACATTCCTGGGAATGTTTCCCCTATATTATTTCTCCTTCATATTCTAAATTTAATTTCAGATACCCACTAGGCTGTTTTAGACTTCTCAATCACTCAGAAACACAATTAGTCATTCACTCTTGCCGAAGAATCACATTAGTAATATTTACTGAGTACATACTATGTGTCAAGAACTGTGCTAAATGCTTTCAATGCATTATCTTGATTGTTACCCCCAATTTACCAACAAGGAAATTGGCTCAGGAAAGTGAAGGAACTTGTCCAACATCTCAGTGACAGAATCAGGATGGTAAAAACCTTGGGCTAGGCTGGGTACGCTGGCTCATGCGTGTAATCCCAGCACTTTGGGAGGCTGAGGTGGGCGGACTGCTTGAGCCCAGGAGCTTGAGACCAGCCTAGCCAACATGGTGAAACCCAGTCTCTAGAAAAAATACAAAAATTAGCCAGGCATGGTGGCATGTGCCTGTAGTCCCAGCTACTTGGGAGGCTGAGGTGGGAGGATCACCTGAGCCCAGGGAGGTCGAGGCTACAGTGAGCCATGATTGTGCCACCACTGCACTACAGCCTGGGCAAAAGAGTTTGAAAGCCTGTCTCAAAAATAAATAAATAGGCTGGACAGGGTGGCTCACGCCTGTACTCCCAGCACTTTGGGAGCCTGAGGCACCTGGATCACCTGAGGTCAGGAGTTCGAGACCAGCCAGGCCAATATGGCAAAACCCCATCTCTACTAAAAATACAAAAATTAGGCCGGGCATGGTGGCTAACACCTGTAATCCCAACACTTTAGGAGCCAAGGTGGGCGGATCACAAAGTCAGGAGTTCAAGACCAGCTTGGCCAACATGGTGAAACCCCATGTCTACCAAAAGTACAAAAATCAGCTGGGCATCATGGGGTGTGCCTGTAATCCCAGCTACTCAGGAGGCTAAGGCAGGAGAATTGCTTGAACCGGGACACAGGAGGTGGAGGTTGCAGTGAGTCGAGATTGCGCCACTTACACTCCAGTCCGGGCTACAGAGCGAGACTCAATCTCAAAAAACAAACAAACAAACAAAAAAATTAACCAGGCATGGTGGTGCGTGCCTATAGTCCCAGCTATTGGGAGGCTGAGGCAGGAGAATCGCTTGAACCTTGGAGGCAGAAGTTGCAGTGAGCCAAGATCACACCACTGCACTCCAGCCTGGGCGACAGAGTGAGACTACATCTCAGAAAGAAAAAAACTTTAAAAAAATTAAATAAAAAACCAACTTTAGCTGTCTTACCCTCAAATTAGTACCGTAATACTATCTTCTTGTATTTTGAAATAGTTTTTCATATGTATTCTCACTACTAAAACCAAACTTTATACAAGTCCAATTTAGCAAGGCTTTTCTTCTTTCCTTTTTTTTTTTTTAATGCTAGGCATTTCATTTCAGACTCTTAAAATTTCTTCTAAGGCCAGCTGCAGTGGCTCATGCCTATAATCCCGGCACTTTGGGAGGCCGAGGCGGGTGGATCACCTGAGGTCAGGAGTTTGAGACCAGCCTGTCCAACACGGTGAAACCCCACCTCTACTAAAAATACAAAAAACTAGCCAGGCGAGGTAGTGGGCGCCTGTAGTCCCAGCTACTCGGGAGGCTGAGGCAGGAGAATGGCGTAAACCTGGGAGGCGGAGCTTGCAGGAGCCGAGATCCGGCCACTGCACTCCAGCCTGGGCAACAGAGCGAGACTCCGTCTCAAAAAAAAAAAAAAGATACCAAAATTAGCCGGGCGTGGTGGCGGGTGCCAGTAGTCCCAGCTACTTGTTAGGCTGAGGCAGGAGAATCGCTTGAACCCAGGAGGGGGAGATTGCAGTGAGCCGAGATCGCGCCACTGCACTCCAGCCTGGGCGACAGGGCAAGACTCTGTCTCAAAAATAAAATAAAATAAAATAAGATAAGATAAAATAAATAAAATCTTCTAATAGAAGGTAGGGCCCATCAGGAAACCATATGCTGTAGTTTGAGTGCCTGTACTGAATTCAGTTGACTGTTGAGATTTCAAACATACTTAGATTTGCAGAGCACTGGGTAATTCAGGTAGCTGATCTTATTCTTAGCATCACCACTTTGACATGAATCACTCAACAACGAAGCCACAGAGATGTACCGAGGGCTGCAAATCTAGTCCAGCTGGTAAGAAATGCTCCTGCAGACTATCTCCTCTCAAAGCGATCTTCTTAGAAATAGAAATTTGTCTCTTCCTACCAGAAAGTTAAACTCTAGAGCCTGAGCTGTTAAGCACTAAGCTATAATGTTCCCTTTAAATGTCTGACTCCTCAACTATGCCTAGGGATATGCACAGCAAAAGCTTTTAACCTCCATTTCTCATCCGAATTTACAATAGCCTTAAGGCTATTGTAGAAGCAGGAATCACTGGCCTCCCTTCGCAGGCAGGGAGATAGAGGCTCCAAGGGTGTGTATGGCACTGGCCTTTGGCCACCACACCACAGTCACCTCCCAGCCAGGGGGGCACCAATCAATTGCCTGTGACGGTGATGGAGGGGATGGATCAATCTGAGTTATAAACCCACCCTTTGCAAGGAGCTAATGCACCTTCCAAAGTAAATTGTTTTCTTCTTTTTCAGAGACAGAATCTGGTTCACACCTTGGACTTGACTAACACAATGAATATTAGCTATTTCTGCACATAAATTAAATAATAACCACTTAAGTTTATATGTAACTCTTATGTTCTAAATGCTTTCTGGAAGTTAAATGCTAAATAAGGAAGCCTTAGCTCTGGAATGAATTTCAGAGGTTCTTTGAAGAACCTCTGAAGAAATGGGAGAGTTAGCTAGGGTAACTAACAGCAGTCTCTCTGAAGGGATACACTGTGCTTCTGAGAGGAGGGATATTGTGGAAAGATAAAAAAAAATTGAGTCAAATGGGCCAGGCGCAGTGTAATCCCAGCACTTTGAGAGGCCAAGGTGGGAGGATCACTTGAGCTCAGGAGTTCGAGACCATCCTGGAGAATCTGGTGAAACCCTGTCTCTACAAACTTCAAACTCCTAGTAGTACTTGTCCATGAAACTTCTCTGTAATAATTGGGAACCTGTCATCCATGATAATGTCCTCTAAATATACAACCACAGCATCAAATTCTGCATCAGAGGTGGAGGAGGAGAGCCCGAAGCTCTCTTCCTCTAAGGCATCCATTGCTGTTACCGTTCCCACCTGTGTGGGTGAGAAGACCACTGGGCTCCTATCCAACCCAGGGCTTGGCGCAGGGCCCAGCCTCCCCTCTGCTCTGTAGAGCCCTA